GGCTGCCCACTCTATTGCATTTTTGCTCTCCTTCCTTTCCACTGAGTTCGGTAAGAGCCTGAGGCTCTGCCTGACCGGGGCGTGAGATCTAGCCCTATTTATTCTTCCTTCACCCTGTCCACTCTCGCTCTCTTTGATTTCACTCAATTATCTACTCATTTCTCACCATGTAAGATTTTGTCTCCTAGGACAGTCACTAACATCTGGCCCCGAACAAAGGGATGCATAATTATTTACACAGTCTAGGTTTCTATGTTTTGGGGAACAGAGAATGTGCATTCAAGGATGGGAGAGGAACAGCACGAAAGGAAAACACCAAAACAATCTCACAGCTAAACCCTAGTAAATGCGGACCGACTAACATAAGGAGTATAGAAGAAAGAAAGGTTAATGATAAAAAACACAATACATATATCTATAAGACATAACAATAAAAGTCATTATAATAATAATAATAATAATAATAACAATAATAGTAAAAGAACATGCATAAAAGATTAAATGTAAGAGGAAACAATTTTTTAACACAGACCAACTTGTGTTTCTGTCCACTTGGGTTCTGAACAAACCTCAACTCCCACTGGCCATATCAATTTGATGACGAAGGAGAAAGCTCCAGAATGGCTACTAGATGGAGATGACTAAATAGAAAGAATGTGTCCAGCTATCTTGAATTGAAAACATAGATGCCAAAGAGATGCCACTTGTGTCAAACTAACCAAAACCTGTGTCAGGCCTTGCTAGTCCGTGTTGAAGTTGCTTTATGCGTTGTTCAGGGTTCAGCTTTCCTTGTCCTCATACCTTACCTTTACCATGAAGCTGTAAACTGACCTTAGATCAGTCATCACTTTCACCACAGGCTACACTGAATGCTCTGAATATTTGAGAGGATAAACTTGTTTGGTTCTATGAACATTCATCAGCTGTGTGTCATGTTTACCTCAGCAACCGACCTTACAGTTTACTGCCAATACAGATTCACATGATTATTCCCATCCTCAACAACAAACAGCAATATTAAAAATTACCAAAATCAAACACTGGGTTTTGGGTTAGAAATGTGGATATAAAGAGAAAAAAAACGGTTTGGTTTTATTTTGGTCTTACTTTATTTTGATTCTCAGGAATAAACAAAAAATACAAAGTTATACAAATATCAAGAGTAGAGAAAGACAGAAACAGCAGCACAGTGGTTGGATGTTGCTCTGTTTTCATGCTCTCGTCACATTTTCAGTCAGGCTCAGTGTAGCTTGCTCAGAGAACAACTGACATTACAGCAATTCTAAGGCAACTTTGATTTTAACTGAAACTAAACTGAGGGTGTACTTGGACCTACCTCTTTAAACTTATCCTGCACATTTTACCCTCTCAGATCAAAAATGGCTCCAGAACAGGCAGTTCTTGCAATAATCTCTCCTCAGCATAGACTATTGCGCCATAGGGCTATAGAGAATCATCACAGTTACAATGGCTACATCCGCACAGTACGGGTTTTCAGAGGCTTTGGCATTCCACATCCATTCAGTTGTGGCCTACAAGTGGGAACAAAAGTGGGATGCAGGAATTTCCAACCGCCTGTATGTCGTCTTTAATGGATACTGGAGTACCAGAGCACTGAGGAGGAGTGTGAGAAGAGCATGTGAAGGCAGAGTAAGGCTCAAAGTAAAACACAAAAGCTCTTAGCAGACACTCTCTCTCTCTCTCTCTCTCTCTCTCTCTCTCTCTCTCTCTCTCTCTCTCTCTCTATATATATATATATATATATATATATATATATATATATATATATATATATGATTCAGACATTCTGATTATAGAGATGAGAGGCAGTTCATCACAGATACAAAGGCAACGAAGTTAATGTTACAGCTGTATACGTAGGCACCATGCACACTGATGGTCACTGTCTTGTATCAAGTGTAACTGGACACTGCAAAGTTAAGCTTTATATTTGCAGGCATTGTTTCAAGAATTCAGAATTCAATATTGTACAAATAATTGAAAAATCTAAATGATAAAATCACTTAACTAGAAATAAACAATACAACCTTACTTCCATTACTCAAGCTTGAGGCACTATAAATATAAAATCTCACAAAAGATCCACAAGATACTAGGTTCTGTAAACAAGAGAAGTAAGGTACAGTAATTACAAAAGATGTTACTTTTCTTAAACTTTTTTTATTTTATTTGACAGTGCAGAGGCAGACGGTGGGAAACAGGTGGAGAGAGAGGGATGTGAAAATGGGAGTGCAACTATGTTTGACTGAGCAGTGTGTTCAGTGTAGTGGGGTAGTGAAAACTGGGTTTTACAAACATCTAGACCAAAACGTGCAATCTGGGCGATGTTCAGTCTTTCAACAAACAGCTTCCTGAGGGTCAGAAAGCACAAAGACAAAAGAGGCCTAAAACATCCGCCTGTTTATGGACATGGGCATCCTTCTTCTTGTTCTCATATACTCATCTGTACACATTTAATGCAGCAATCACTCTTTACAGGTGTGGTAATGCTACACCTGCCAATGCAAAAACTTGCAAAAAAGACAAAATATGAACGGCAGATAAGTGAACGTGAAACAGCTGACGGCTGTTTGGCAGAAGTCCATTGTAGAAGGAAGATTATGGCAAGGTGACTTACAAGTGATATTGCTGGTTTAGTTAATGTTTAAGTACAGCATATATTGTTTAGGCACCACTTAGGTGGAACTGCTGAGTACAGGCTAGTACTATTGTTTCAGCTTCTTATAAAAGAAGACATTTAAATACAATTTAACAAGAGTTAAAATACAAAATAAAAGCAAGATGAAGCAGGACAGTAAAAGTTACAGTGCAGTGTATGTTAATAGTCTACAGCCTTAAATTTGATTTAATAAAAGACAGTTAAGTCTTCAGGTTTGATTTAAAACAAGTTAGAGTTTCAGCAGACCTGCAGTTTTCTTCGAGTTTGTTCCAGATATTAGGAGCATAAAAACTGAACGCTTCTTCTCCGGGTTTAGGTTTTGACTCTGGGGACAGAAAGCAGACCTGTCCCTAATGACCTGAGAGGTTTGGACAGTTCATAACATAGCAGAAGATCAGAAATGTATTCAGGTCCTAAACCATTCAGCGCTTTATAAACCAACAGCAGTTTTTTAAAATCAATTACTTTACACACAGAAAGCCAGAACTGGAAAGACGTGATCCACTTTTTTAGTCTTAGTGAGGACTCGGGCAGCAGCGTTCTGAATCAGCTGCAGCTGTCTGATTGATTTTTTAGGGAGCCCTGTAAAAACACCGTTACAGTAGTTGAGTCACCTGATGATAGATGCATGGACACGTTTTTTCAAGTCGTTTAACCTTTGATATATTCTTCAGGTAATACTCAGATGACTTTATTATGTCTTAATGTGGCTTTTGAAAGTCAGGCTTAAGTTCATGCACCAAGATTTCTGGCTTTGTAGTTTTTACCATTGTCAATGAGTCTTTTTATTGCTTTTCCTCGGTTAAAAAAAATTTTACTTCAGTTTTATCTTTACTTGAATAACATTCTGGCACACCCAATGAGAGACTCGTTCTATTGCACTTACTCAGCGCTTGTATGGGATTCTACTCCCCTGGTGATATGATTATGTAAATATGTGTGTCGTCTGCATAATGATAGCAACATCTCTAGTTGTTTTTATGACCTGAGCCAGTGGAAGCATGTAGATGTTAAACGGAAGAGGTCCCAGAATGTTACTGTACTCATACTATGTTTGGATTATTTAATGTTTATCATACTAATTTATGTTATGTTTATTAAACTGTACAGTATACTGTGGGATTTCAGTAGAAGTTATTCCACAATTTTACTAGCAGAATTTAGTTTATTATTACATACAGTAATTATTTCATCATCATTTGGAGCACTTTAACTATCATATTATTTATATATTTATATGTGTAACATTCAAGTTACTATCTTTGGCTAGAGAAAGCTAATTTTGGTTCCTGCCTGCCGTTGTTTTGCAGGTGACAGCTGTTAGTGTAACAGAGTGGGGAGTTTGCTGTGAACACCAGCAGAGTGAAGTTGGGTGTGTACTGCCTTGCCATGTGGTTTTAAATTAAAGAATATTATTTAAGAAGAAATTATATATTACCCACAGGCCAGAAGGACAGGAGGACACTACCAACCCAGAATACAGGGTTACATAGCCATGTAAAAGTCTAGTTATTTAGAGTACACTGGGTTTAAATTGTGGTTTATTAGATAGCATTTTTTGTACACATGGCTATATTGTACAGGGTCTGTCTTGATTTGAATCAGTTAAATTCATTAAGGAGGTGGGGATAAAGAGAATGTTTCAGCTCTGAGAACAATGTAAGAAACTCAATATTAAGATGTCTGTAATATTTGGTGCAGTCATTATTCTTATTGCAGTAAAATTCATTGTTGGCAGCAGAGTTTATCGTCGTACAACTTCTACATAATGCAATCTTCAATTGATTAAATTAAAGTTAGTGCTAAATTCAGACTAAACCAAATGGATGCTGTTCACCAAAGCTACTCATACTGAATCCTGAAACATTCACTGGGCAAATGGTATATATATATATATGGAGAGAGTGCCTCAGGATAAATACCTGAGAATCTGGCTGGCCAATAATCTTAACTTCAAGCATAACATTAACACATGGATTATTAAATTGAGAACTATATGTAGTTTTGTGTACATGAATTGCTTCCCTTTTCACCAGAGAAAAACAATTGGTCAATCAATATTTTATCTGTTTTGGATTATGGGGATGTTACATATGGAAAAGCCGTCGCTTCTATATTAAAGTCAGGAGATGCTGTTCACCACTCGGCCCTAAAGCTTATAGTGATCCCTACAGCACCCACCACTGCCTTCTTAACCAAAAGCCATAATACAGATCTTTTTTATAATGATATTTAGCCACATTTAAAAAATAAAATAAGAAATAATGGAGAACAGATGGGACAAAACATAGACCAAAACCAAACACAACAGAACACAGAGTGGAAAAAAACTCAAGATTTATTTGTAAAGCACTTTTCATAAAATGCCCTGTAAACAAATTAGAGGGACTAATAACAATACACAACTACGTTTTCTAAAAAATAAATAAATAAACGTTCTATAGTTCTATTCAGGTTAGTTTCCCATCAGCTTTATGCGATGGCTGGATTGTTAGAAAGGTTTCTACCTCTAAAACATACACATTAACCCCACCTGCATCCACTGGCGCTGTCTCCATAACAACAACGGCGCCATGATAACATGTACTTTTGGTCCTTTTCCAGGAGGAGTGTCAACGTTATCAATAGAGCATTAACTGCTGCTGTGTGTGGACCAGTAAATACAAAACATGAGGATGGAAAATACAAACTAGCAGTTCATACTGTGTGCTCTTTCTGTAGTTCACCCCCCACCCATAGAAAATCTCTTTCCCATTTCCACTCTAGCATCTCTCTGCATAGACTGAGGATACATGTACACTACTCCGTTTCTGTTTAAAAACGAAAACGATCTCCGTCCACACCAGTGTTTAGCTGCATATCAGAATTGATCATCGTCTATATTAAAACAAATGAAAACGCACATCTAGTGGCCGTTCATGTACACTGGGCATGCGTTGGCCAGTGTAAACAGGAAGCAGAGTGTCTACTCCGCAGTTGCAGAAGATTTAGCAAAAAGAAGAAAGTACTACTACACATGAAGAACCACTTCACAGATGTTTTTGCATGGACCGACAACAAGGTGGAACTGTTACTGGAAGTAATATGGGAGTCCAAAGTGACTTTGATGGCGGAAAACAGACTGGGAGTCATCACAAAGCAAATACGGCGACATGTACAGTACAAGTGAAAGTGTTATTTGCACAGTACAAAACATTTGAATAAGAATATCAAAACATAAACTCTTGAGCGTGAGCGTCTTTGTCATCATTTTTAAAGTCCTCCGTTGTCGCCTGTCAGCACTAAAACGCTAGCCTGGAGTTTTAAAACAAAAATGGGTTCGGCAGCGTTTCCAATTTTCCCCATTTTAGTCTGGACGGGAGGTGCAAACGTAGCAAAAGGCTTGCGTTTTAAAACAAAAACGTAGCAGTGTGGATGTAGCCTGAAACACACGATTGTGTCTGCTTAATGCTCTTTGACCTGTCACTTCACCTACATTAAGAACCCCCCAAATACAAACACACACACACACACACACACACACACACACACACACACACACACACACACACACAAATGCATTCACTGGACCTTTACCCAAACAACTAAAATGTTGACCCTAACCCTTACATAATTCTAACCTAACCCTTAAAACCACGTCTTAACATTCAAACAGCCCTTTGAAGTTGTGAGGACCGGCCAAAATGTCATCACTTCCCAAAAATGTCCTCACTCTGTGGTTCAAACCTTTTTCCCGTCCTCACTTCGTAGGAAGTACACACACACACAAACTAACCCAATTGTATACCCACACAAACGACACAGACATCCACTACACTCAAAAGGGCATTACGTTTCTTCTGTCACTCTGCTCTAACCTGATATTGTGTGTACAGCTACATGGCTTTATTACAACATATAGTCTGAAACACTGTCTCTTAAACACTGTCATTGTGATGACGTTTTTATGGCTGGGCATGCTGAGATACTCAACAGCAGGAAAATAACCACATTGAAGTTTTTCAGTGATGGTCATAACATCATAACATAGTTTCCCACACTTTTAGATGCACCTCTGTCAATCTGACCACATGCTCATTTAAAGAGCAATGCAACTTCATTAGCAATTCAACTGCAATCCCCAGGAATCCTGTGAGGTGACATCAGAAGACTGCACACAGCACACTCATGTTCACCACCACGGCCGGTCTGTAATGTTTTAGACATAAATAAGTAACGGAAAACTTTAACTTCTACCTTTTTTCTCCTTTCACTGAGGGATTTAGTTAGCCAGACAAACGAGCAAATTTTAAGTAAGCTTAATTTACTGCATGTGTTTAATTCAGCTGACTAATGAAAGTACACCACCACTGAATGGGATACATTTGTCGACAGTCTTGTTACTGTAAAAATGAGAAAACGGAAACATCTCTAACACGGCGAGATCTTCATTCGACTTTACTCCTACAGCAGCATAGACAACTTTAAAAAAAAATAAAATAAAATTCAGTCCCAAAAAAACGACAGAGAGCAGGACTAAAACTCAACAGACAGGGCATTACAGCGACCAACAGGCCACAACATGGACCGAAGAGCAACAACAGACAACACAAGATTTAACTAAAAGTGCTAAAAAGTTGTAATGACTGCAGGAACAAATGTTTTCAATGCAAAGCTTCATGAATATTTGACTAAACTAAACTTGTTTAGCAACAACTCCAACTTCTACCTGTAAGCAAAAGTTGGTTCCAGGAGATTAAATGTGGATGCTTGCAGGATTTAATGGTCTCTGACGGCAGCCTCAGACACCATCGACAACTACTGCCACGGCTGACAGTTACACCTTCATTCACCACGTAAGGCACAACTTGCTAAATACAACAGTTTTCTAATGAGGAGAGATATTTAACATTTACACTTATTCACAAAAAAAACAACCGTAAAATAGAAACAATTCATTGAAATGCATTGTAAAAAACAACACCAACACTGAACAGCCTACAATGGATAGTTAGTGACTAAAAAAAGTCCATACTCAACTAGCCAAAAAACGTTGGCAACAAAAGAAACAACTGAAAGATTGTTGATGACCGCCAAGATACAGTAGTATCAAACACTTGTTTCTGTCTTCATCAGGTCTTTATCAGTGCCCTGCAGACAGGGTGTGTGTGTGTGTGTGTGTGTGTGTGTGTGTGTATGAGAGGGAGAGAAATAGAGGGAGAGAGAGAGAGGGGAGTGAAAGGAGTCAACATAGGTCAAGCTTTATCAGCTGTGATGTCAGAGCCAAGAGGACAGTGTTGGTGCAAGCCGGTTGGCCACTGGCTGGTGTAAAGGGCGAAGCCTTTTAGGACGCCTGAGGCACCACCTCCATCACCTTCTGACACAAGGCTGTGGTCGAGACTGCAAAACACACACACACACAAGTGACGGTTACACACCATGTCAATGTCAAGTGATGGTTTCAGGCACGAGAAGACACAGGTGTTGTACTCACAGATTCCATGCAGCATCCACTTGGGTTTGCTCTTCCACCACACGCCGATCAAGTAGACAGGAATTCCAGTACCAATGATGCCGAAGCCGATCGCACACTCTATTGGAGTCTTCCAGAAGGAAACGATGATGAGGAAGAGGCAGGCTAGCACGAAACTCACCGGCAGCAGAATGTTCACCTGCAGGATAGGAAAAGACAGGAGATCAGACAAAGTGAGGAGGTTCCACTGCTCCCACTTCCTTAAAGGAATAGTTTTACATTTTGGGAGATTAGCTTAATTGCTTTTTTTTGCTGTGAGTTATATCAGAAGATAGATACTATTTTTGTTTTAAATGCGAATACAGATCTTAAGTCCAGTGAAAGAGGGGCTTTATAAAAAATGTTTGGTTTTAAGCCTGGAGCAACTAAAATGCAGGACCTCAGTCATGATATTAAAGATTCTAACTCTGCAGAGCACTACAAGATATAACAAGGTCGGCAACAGGGCTTCTCTTGAGCGATCTCTCACCACCCTGAGAATGAGTGTCCTTGATGTAATTATGTTTGTGTTTTTGTGCTAAACTGCAAAATGTTCAAAATTCATACAGATTGTTCATAAAGTGAAGAAACATAAATAAAAGCGATATAAACTGGTATTACTATTAGTTATAAAACATTAAATCAAAAGGTCAAAATACATTATGAACTTTGCTATAGCGCCTTATGCATGTTTGTAAGTGATTATAACAACTGTTATAATGTCTTATGGACGCATCGTGTTATAAATATATGCAATAATATATGTCATTATAGCGATGACCTTCATAGAAAGTGTTACCCAGTTTTCTAATAAAAGCCTAAATGCATAGTTAGTGACTAAAAACAGTAATAGTAATAATTTGCTCCTGTGAAGGTAAATCAGAATGCTACAGTATACAATGATATTTTAGATAATACTGTGCTCCCAACTTAGTGGCAGCAGTTTGGAAAAGACCGTTTACTGTGTCACCATGACAAGTTTTTGCATGAAAGAACTTGACCTCATTCAATCCATTCTTTTGGATGCACTACAATGCCGGCTGTGAGACAGGCCTCATCACCCAGTATTAACAGGCGACCTGCTCTTGTAGCTGAATGAGAGAAACCCTGCAGCCAGGTTCCAAAAGCTGGTAGAAAGCCTTGTTATATTCGAAGAAGGATTCCCCCAGCAACCTCTAATGAGTGGTATGTTCATACTTTTGGCCCTGTAGGTTGAATGTGAACCGAAGGTGTCATGAATCTACCAGCTTACTGATGTACAGTGTCCCTTAACCAAAGAGATGAATTAGTAAATCTGATTGTGTGATTCTCTGCAGCGCTGCTCTGAATCTGTTGAACAGCAGGAATGTGACAGACAAAGAAAGGAGAAAGAAATAGAGCTGGAGAGTGAAAGAGTGAAAGAGAGACTGAGGTCCGCAAAGAGACAGTGCCACCACTGTCCCACCACTCACACACAAACACACACACACACACACACTGTGGGACCAATACATCTATTTGCAGGCAACGGTGTGCCAGCGAAGTCAGGCGGGCCATCAAACTCTAATAAGGTACAACACACACACAGCATCACACATGCAAACAAAGTGCAACAGTGGTACAATGGTCTTCTGTGTGTTGGGGAGTCTTGCAGCTACTGGTCTAGTCAGGAGGCCTAGGGCTCTTCCTCTTGTACACGTACACACACACACACACACACACACACACACACACACACACACACACACACACACACACACACACACACACACACACACACCCTGCGGCCCTCAACACCAGCTGACAAGCATCCAGCATCTCTTCTGTCCTTTAATCTGCGATCAGCCTCTATTCATCTGAGTTCTGCTGAATGGATCTTTGTTGGTCGCGTGAGACAAAGAAGAAACATTTCCTGCTGCCAAAGCTAACTTCAGTGGGAGTCGATGGTGACAAAGACCAAGTGAGACTTTCATGTCCACTCGTCCGTGTGTGTGTCTGTCCATGTCCAAAACAAAGCAAAGGGGCTTTACCAAAGTACCAGTACTGCTTTTTTTCACATGTTCTGACCGGCTGATTGCATGGAGTTTGGCTGACCTTGATTGGCCGCTCCAGCTCCGGCTTCTTATAACGGAGCCACATCATCCCGACGATCGCCATGGCGATGCAGAGCCAGTTGAAGAAGCTGAAGAAGTTTATGACGGAGAAGATGTCGTTGGAGAAGGCGTAGAGCAGCGTCATCAGACACTGGTGAGGGGGAGAGAGAGAAGCAATTAGGGGTACAACGCAAGACCTCCAAGTATTTAAAGTAGAGAGACGGCAGCAACAGTCATTTGTTTCTAGTAAAATATTGATAATTGCTGCTACACAACTCCCACAGCAGCTCAATACGGTAAATCACTGTACATCAGTGCAGCTGTATCCTTCTGATTTAAAGACACAAAATATATTTGATTTGCTTATTTAAATTGTGTGTAGAATTAGGAAATGAGAGTGTGTACAGTGAATATAAGTGAGGGCAGTGGGGTCAGCAGGGTGGGGTGGATCATTGACAGCAGGCTGGGCAGGTGGCCCTCCCGGGAACCCACGAAGAACAACCTGTCAGGGAGGGAAAGACATGGATACTGAGTATGAACCTTTTGAAGACAGTCTATGGTATGAACAGATAAATGATTCCATTTAATGCATTTTGTACCCATGACAAGATTCTGGGTGTTTATACAGGAGCTCTCACTGATTCCCCAAACCTAGTTAGATAGTCTACACGTACTTTCATGTTTCTGGATGCGTTTTCCATCCGGTGTGTGTGCGTGTGTGTTACCTGGATGACGTGAACAGAGAGCCGTTGACTGATCCAAAGCACGACAGACCTACAAACACCGGGATGATCCATGCCATCGGACCCAGGTGTCTGTTGCCAAAGTCCTGCAGAACAAGCACACACACACATGCAGTACAGATGTGATAATAAGTACAGTAGCAAAGTAGTTCCAGTCACAAGCGGCACAGCGAAGTTCATCGGCACCCATTTGCCAAATAGGCGTTGGCAGAGGCTTGGTGACGTAGGGACTACTCGCAGGCCTGTTGGTGAACTACTGTAGCTGGCAAGCTAACGCTAGGAAGCCAGGAGCATGCTAGCGCTAGTCAGTCACAAATGCTCCCTGAGCTTCTTTCTATTTTCTCTGTACTGTGCATTTCTGGCATTTTGTTCTCAGGATTGTATATCATTTTATTCAATAAAGAGTTAAAGTAGTAGACTGCAGAGGAGGGTTAAATAAAAGTTGATGGATGGTGGAATAAGATACGACAGCTTCCTGTGTCTCCTTATCGCCCTCCCCTCCAACAGCAGCACTGTTAAGACAGCTTTCCATTAGTCAGTGGCATAAATTTGTTTATCACAGTTCTCCAAAGTTGAATTTGAAACAAAAAATTGCTTTACTTCACCTCCACGAGCGAATCTACTGATTGCAGAAATCCCACAAAAATAGACTGACCGCTGTGAAAAGTTGTCATTTTAAATGCTGATTATTCTACATATTCTATAGGAAAAGCACATCCAAAGGGGAGCCAAAGAGCTAGGGTTTAGGTAACTGATCACTGATGTACCAGGAACACATCTGTGACTTTTGGGTGTGTGTAAATCATAAAGTGTATTTCCTGTAGTTGGCATCGTTCATGCAAAAGAAAGTAGCTCAAAGTGTTTGCACTCACCACAGCCACGGCCTCTGAGCCCAGCATCTGCTCCGGGGAGAGGGTGGTGAAATATGCCAGGTTGGTCAGAACGTACACTATAGTCACTATTGGCAGAGAGATGATGATGGCGCGAGGCAGGTTTCTGGAGGAAGGTGCAAACAATCTTAGTGACCACTCAGAATACCGCAGATTATCAATCACTCCTCAGAAACCAAGTCTGTATTTTATCATAGAAGCAAAGAAGTCGCTCGTTAATACTCACTTGTAAGGTTCAATCATTTCCTCAGTAACAAAATTCAAGTAGTTCCTGTGAGCAGCAGAGGCAACAAGGATGTTATGCAATTATGTAGCGGAAAACAAATAATACATTCTGTACAAATAAAATTGTTCTGTATTCATCTATTAATGGAAAAGGATGACAGCAACCCCAATGGCATCTTTGACACAAAGAAATTCTAATTTGTTTACAAAAAGAAGGTGTTGGGTTTTTCTTTTTTACAGTGAAAAGCTTCATTCATCACGGGAGGGGGGGGGGGGGTAATACTCAGTTTCAAATCTAGTTTCATTCAACATTAAAGAGGGAAACAATCCTAGGAAGTAGGCTGGGTGATATCTTAGTATTATGGTTAAAGGACATGCAGTGACATCTTATCCTGATGATAAAATGATATTGTGTCATTGGTTAACAAATATTGTGGTCCATCCTTCACCATGAGGGGTCACTAACGACTTACAGGATGTGGCACCTCCAGCAAGATAAACACTTTAATCTGTCTGATCCTATAGTGGAAACTGGATAATGACCAGGCATTGCAGTGGCTTGCAACCTGAACACACACACACACACACACACACACACACACACACACACACACACACACACACACACACACACACACAGGTAGGTCGATGTGAACTCACCAGCCGCCGTAGGCAAACAGGCCGCTGTAGAGCGCCAGGCCAATGCTACCAAACTCATATTTGGACCCCTTGAAGGAATTTTCTGGAAGGAGGCCGTCTGTGCTGCCTGGAGAAGAAGTGGGAGAAAGAATTGGGGTTAAGACAAAAAAAAACTAAACAAATCCGTTTGTCTGTATTGTTGCTGTGCAGGCAAGTACCAGCCGCTCTGTACAACCTGAAATGTGGAACAATAAATGAAACAATGATTTGTATTTGCCAAACACACATAGCCTTTGGAGTGGGGGGGGGACCTTAAATCTGTCTCAGTGTGCGGATCAGTGAAAGACTGCAGAATGTAATGGAGTTAAGGCAGGCTGAGACGGTGAATTAGAGACCCAGACTGTGGAATCGACCTGAGGCATGGACGGATCATGCAACAGACAAACAGAAGGGGCCCCAAGAAGAGAGAGGCAGACGGGGAAAAGATGGTGCTTTATTGCCGTGCTCAAGGGCAGGCCAACAGTAGCTGAGGGATGGGAGCGTATTATTATTGTGAGGAATTATAACATTTTGGTCAGAGCCCTCCTCCTCTGACCTCCAGCCTGCTGCTGGTTTGAGGGGATCTGTGCCACATTCCTGACAGAGCTGCTCCCCACTACACACATTCTCAGACACAGCGGCGGTTGCTAAACCAACATAACGTAGCAGTGTTGGTACTGGGAGGGTTAGCCCTAAGCCACCGCGCAGCATGGGAAACGCCAGATTACTGTGCTGTCCGTGTGACTAACTGCCCTACGCTCTGCCCTCCTAACAAAATAGACAGCATCCCAAGACCTCGCTGCCCCACTCGGTCACCGCTGCTCTACATACCAGCCTGAACGGGGAGCTGGGCTGGGGGTCTCTGGGTCGTTTCAACTTGTTCATAACAGCCCCAAAAAGCTTCGGTTGGGTAGAAGTGACTGGGTACATGAGTCTTCTCTATAAGAAAAAGATTCTTCAAAGGTCAGATTAGTGTGAGCTGTTGGGTGCTAATATTGGCTAATATATTGTTATCAAATCTTTTAATTCTTAAATATCTGTATCAGCGTTGGCCTAAAAAGAATTCAGTATCAATCGTGCTTTACACAGCATACTCAATCAAATTAGTTGCAGATTTATTTTCTGACAAATCGACTCAAAGTTCCAACTCTACTCAAATCTCCATGCCTAAACACTGCCCCACTAATGCTAATGCTGAAGCAAGTAAATCTACAGTTGACCTAAACGCAACCCTAAATTCATATGAAATCGTGGCATACAGAAATGTGATATGTTTAAAGTGCTGATGTCTCATTCTAAGAAGTACTGCTCCAGCATGTTTGATATGGATGATAGGAAGTAGAGATATTACATATCAGAAACAACATCTATTCCACAGAAGTACTTGCAAACCAATACGTTCTGTGAACTGATGCACACACTGAGATCTCTCCTCCACCCCAGGCCTTGGCTGACCATTTCTTTACACACAGATACACACAACCACTGCTCAGGACCATCGGCCTCCAAACCTACAGCTCACCTCACGTCTGTGTGGCTTGAACTCAGTGATGTGTTCCTAACCTTTCCAGCTTCTTGTGGTCTGAATCAGCCCTGCTCTTATTCCTCCTTCTCCTTCTGTTGTGCTCAGCCTTTAGTTTGTGACATGAGGACTATGTATTAGAAAATGTCCTCCTTCAATCCTCTTTGGTTCAACTTCACTCTTTTTTTTACAGCTTTATTCCTTCTTCTGTTGCTACCCCCAGCACGTTCCACCACACTGGTCAGGAAACATACAGCCAGTGGCTTGTCACATGATACCAGTGCCAGGCAGTGAAAGTGAGAGACACACACACACACACACACAATGAAATATGCACCATGCAGAACACACACTCAAAGGTGCACACCTACAGGCAAAGAACATGAGTTCCTACAGTGGGAGGCTGTGTCCAAAGTAAGACAAATTTTTAAAAAGTCACATTCATCTGTGAATTACAATGAAACTACCTGGATTGTAAAAAGTAGAAAGTAAATAAAAATCACAGCTACAGTTTCAAGGATTAAAAAGGTTAGGTTATTTGTAGCAGTGCACAGACAGTGACTATTTGCGCCGAGCTAACAAAACTGTTTAAAGGATTACCTACTGCCTCACTTTGATGTGGATTAGCTTAGTCTAACAGAAATGTTTACAGTCAGTTTAAAGAGACATCAGGTAAAGTCAAAGGCATTACATGGATAGGCTCTACTCTCAAGACTGAGATGAATGAGGAGTATTTGCTAAGAAGTCGGTTTCTGAACCCGCCCCCCTCAAACAAACACGCACCTTTTTATTCACCTCAGAGGGACCTGCGCTGGTGGAAAACCACTTCAAGATGTCAACCAGGACTTTTACATCAGAAGATATCAGTCTGGAACTGTGTATGAGTGTGTTTTATTTAATAAACGATGTTGGTATCAGAATAAGAAGGTGAAGAGGTCTGCATCACAGACAGACTGTGACAGGATGAAACTGGAGCAAATCAGAGGTAGGTTGACACGGCCGGTCAACAAGGGGTCAGTCTCTGTGGGTGTTTCACTTCCAAACAGCGTGGGCAGCTGTCAGATTGAGAAAGCAGGGCAGCTAATCGGATTACACTGGTCTCTAATCTGAGACACCAGCAGGCTCTACACTTATAAACCACACACACACAAGCAGGCACGCAGAGTGAATACTGTAGGTAAAACACTGGTTTAAGATGGATCAGGATGAGCTGATCAGAGCGTGTGCTGTGACACTTTGGTTTATCTTTGCCAAACTCACATCACTATGGCGACCAGGTGGAAACTACTGTGGCTCTACATGATCACACACAATGAGAGACAAAGCAGCTACACTTCACAACTCACACAAGAACTGGCTCAGTAAAGTCTCAGCTCTTTTCTCTAAAAGTCTGTAACTTCGCGACCTGTAAAAAAGTTCCTGGATTATTTCTATAATGCGACCCACTCATCAAATTCCCCAACTCTTTCAGTATGGAAAACACCTCTCCGCCGCTGTTTCTCATTTTCTTTCTGGATCAGATGGCTGGTTAAACAGTGAGTGTATACTCTAAAAGAGACGTATAAAATCACTCAATAACCTCCACCCCAACTGCCAAACAGCCGCGAGCGAGGTTGCACAGAAGAGACTTTGTTGATGTAATCACAGCCACACGCCCAGTCTTTGTCTCAATCCAGATAATCTGAGGTGTCCCGGGAAAACAGTCATTAGAAGCACTATGATGAAAAAGATTGGTGTTAAAGATTTAAGGATGCCACAAGACTACATGATGTTAGAAAAGCTCACTTTTGAAACAGCACTTAGTAAAGGACTAGAAGTACAAATGAGTAGAATTACTCCTCATCCTCCAGCTATACACCTAAACAGGCATTAGATAGGCAGGGTTAGCATTCAAAGTATGTGGATTAAGATTACTCAAAAGAATGAAAGGCGGATACAGTTCCCGCTTCTACCAAAAAGTACTGGAGGGGGGGATCAACTAGAGCTCAGGCTTTGTTATTTAGTCGAGAACTTGAACCACTGGAATTGAGAATGTTTTACTATGAATTCAGCGTGGGAGAGTTATCAGTAGCTTTGGGCCATGGACATGCAAGAAGCCGTAACGCAACATGTGTGATCCCTGCACGGATTTGGGACAAACAATGGGGCAAATTTCAGGCACCTATTTAGAAAAATTAAGGATTCAATTGAATGAAAATCAACAAATGATCCCCCCTAGTCCATTTTCTTTCTTGTGCGAGTGGCCAAAGCTTAACTTTTCTTTAAACCTTCGACTGTCAATCTCACAGTCGAAGCTTCGCAACGACACAAGGATCACGCCATTTTGGCGATATGGGGAAGCTCAATGTCTGATTTTACACAGAACTGCCAGTTTTATATATATATATATTAATACGTTAATATACAGCCTATTACAATATACATTTCAACGTTTAATGCTGTAAATAAACACGTAAAAAGAAAAAAAAAAATCCAATAAATGTTTTTAAAGTATAAGTGTAAATAAATCCAAAATTGTAACCCTAACCCTGGGTCGTCAGTCAAAAACTCTGCACAAGACCGGTGAATGGCGGAGAGAGAGAGAGAGAGAGAGAGAGAGAGAGAGAGAAAATGGTCAACAATAAGCCTCAGTTTTGCTTCGTCTCGCAATCGCCGCGCACAAAAACACACATGATTCAACTATCAGTCGACTACAGGCAGGACTTGACAATTCTGGTTTGACTATGTAAATCCTTAGTTGGGGACAGCCCAAAACCTGCCTAACAATAGGGCCACAAGAGGTCCCTTGATCATGTCTACAGTCACTGATATGATGTACGCTGGCCTGTGAGGCTGAGTGTAAATGAATCAAATGAGATCTTAAGAAGCCGAATCAACAATAGTCTTATCTTACTACTCAGTTACATTGTTTTGCTTTACAGAACTCCACCAGTCCACTGTCCTGGTGTGTTAAGGCCCCTGGTATTAGCTATGAGGTACATATAAACATGTTCAATAACCAAATCTCACTTTTTGTCTGGTCTAACGTGGATAATGCTCAGGGCAGGTCCAGCTCTCTATCTGATTCATTGTTTTAATCTGCTGAATTACAGAAAATGTGTGTGTGTTTTATCTTATCCACACATACAGTATGTTGCAGCAGGAGGGGGCTAAAAGCTACCCAGCTTCTAGAAACCACATGCTGTATGTCTTCCACTCTTTCTCCTTTCCTCTATCTGTATAATGCAACTCCTCCACCCCACCCCAGCCTCCTCCCTCAGCTCCATCTATTTCCGGTCCACTTCTGAACAATTCCAGTCAGTGTTGAGGTCCTGTTTGCCCGCCAGTCAGCTGATCTCAGACCTGTGGCCTCTGACCTCTGCACAAACAGGCAAAAGTCTGTCCTTTCACCCACTATGTGTGTGTGTGTGTGTGTGTGTGTGTGTGTGTGTGTGTGTGTGTTTGTGTGTGATTAAGGACTGAACTTGGATTCGGCCTTTTGATGAAGAATCTACATTTTTCATCTTTCAGCCCTCTCCTGTCTGCTGCGTTCAGCTGTTTTCAGACTTTGATGACGGAATACAGAAAGCTGGCCCACTTCTGAACAATCATGCAGTACTTAATTAAAGTTCTGAAGAAAGACATGGGCACAGTGCACAGACAGTATATTACTGGATGAAGCCACCCCGCTGATTTGAATGAGAGCAGTGAAGCCAGTTTTGGACCAATAAAATACTACTACAACTTCCTGTTGGCACCTACTACTACTGGCATCTACTGCGCGTGATCGCGCAGCATAACTGTGGTTTAATGACGTCGAGCAACGGCAGAAACACTGTAATTCTACACGCTCACCTGCCAAACACCGACGGGGTGTCACAGGGTTCTGACGTCATTTTTGGGTCTACATGGATCCCTCCGTGCAGGCTTTGGTCGGCTTCACTGTCCGATCTCTGGCTTACCCCCTTGGCACAGTGATGGCAACTATAGACATCCTACATACGCTGATGAAAATAATGTGATCTAATCCAGGAATGGACTGGAAATAAAAAATGGCCCCGGACTTTCTGACTCAGACAGACTCACATGTTATAGGACATGTTGTCTAGTTGCTTTCAGTAAAGCTGAAAAAAGACTTGCTTGTATTGACTTTGTTGTGTAAAAATTACATAAATTAATCACAGAATCATTACATGCTGAAAAATAAGACTTCTGAAATGTAACACGTTCGGTTTCTTTAATTATTTTCAATTCAAAACAATTTTGTAGATTGTTTTTAGTTGCGTTAAGCGTTAAACTGTAGGTTTGGTGTTGCATTTGGAGTTAAACTGAGACTGACAAGAAAACAGCTGATTTTCAAAGCTGACCCTTACGGCTTGGCTGGGGTTAAAGTCAGGTGTGAGGTCAAAGGGGAGAGGTCAGAGGTGGGCTCAGTGCTCCAGACAGAGGAAACACATAGCTGTAGAAAGCAGACAGGTTAAAAGGTGTGGTCAGCTGCAGTTTGTGAGAGCTCCACATTTCACTTTTTTACCCCCAAATAGCATTTCTCCTTAAAACAACAAATTATTTTACGTCTGAGACTTTGTGAAAAAAGCAAAAACAAACAGACCCGTTGGTCAGATTCCAGCTCCTAATCTATAACACTACTTGCTTTGTGATTATATTCAATCTGCAAGACTTGGTCCGTGTCTCACACTGACTCATTCACATTCAACACACATACTTGTTGATTCCCCTTTTAGTTGGTTTCCCCTCTAATTTTCTTCAAACCACCAGAGCACAGAGTCACTCTGATCTAATGTACCGCTGTTTTCTATTTGCTTCTGTGTCTCTCGGAGGAGTACAGCCGCTGACGCCTTCACTGCAGGCAGGAAGAGAGCAAGCAATAGGAGCACGGCAGGGCTTAGCAAAACGCACAGGCAGCGGGGGGAGTATACTGTAGTTATCTGGTAGAAGTTGTTTTTTGTCACTGGGAAGGAAGCAGAAAGGTTTGAGGCCACTTCAATATTTAGAAGCCTTAGTAATCTGCTTTCTAGGACATGAACCCAATGAACCCCAAAAGTCTTGGCTGAGAGTTGCACTGATTTCCTCTAGGGGGCAGAGTTTGATTACCTGAGCACACTTCCTGTCTGTATTAGTCGTGTTAATAAACCTTTTCAGTAAACCTTCACCGGTCTGGTAACTTACAGTGAATGGGACAAGAGTTCTGGCTTGTTCAAACAGATCGTTTGTGTGAATCAGACGTCTTGCAGCTAATGATTTCCAAAAGAAAGGAGTGCTGTGTTCTACTTGAGAGCAATTGTCTCTATGCCATTTCTCACACGCACTTCACAATTTTCTAAAAAATTCTAATACATGTCTTTTTGTCAAGTTCAGTGAATATCTCCTCACAGCCCACTAGCTGTCTGTTCTGTGTGTGTGTGTGTGTGCTGAAATAAAATCTGGTGTTTGCACACAGCCCTGGCTCTGTACAAAGTGGATCAGACCTCACAACAAAACACTATTCCGTTCCAGCCATGATTTGTGTCAGGTAACGTGAAATGACTTGCCCACAGACACTCAGCTTACCTTCTTATTTGCCTCTTTGCATGTTAGCTTCACAGCAGCAACCCTAAGGATGTGTACTTGTGTCTGCATACAATCTTATCAGAACTCACCTTTTTTCCCCACCAGAAGATTATTACAGTCCAAACTGAATATATATGCTTTGTGCTTATTTTTACCATTTAACAAAGACTGAACTGCTGTCCAGGGCGATTCTTTGATTCCTTGAACGTTACTCATTGAAACACTAAAGCGATTATGATTCAAACTGGAATGGCTTGTGTGATCTGAAACTCAAATGGTTTTCAGGATTAAAATAGTAAACTAGTAAACTAAGATTTTTTTGTTGAGCGTGCCCTGTTTTAGTGGTTTTAGTTAGCTTTCTCTTACACGTGTGTATGTAAGTATTGTGAATTCAACAAATACAATAGGAGACTGGGTATATGCATATTCTATGATAAAATGCAGATAATTGAGTGATTAATTATGTTGCTGGTGTACAGAAATCAAACTGCACAAAAGAAGATAAATTAGATTTAGGTGAGATATTTATATTTTTCTACATTGATATCCATCACCATGCAAATGCAAAGGTATGCAACATTACGTATAAAATAATCATTCTGATGTCCAAAACAATGAACTGTGTTCTAATGTTATGAATCATATAAATTATACTCATGTTTATAAAAAAATTGTAAAATAATAATTGCGTTTGTTCGTGTAAATCATGTAAGTCATATATTTTGTAACTGTGTGGTGTAGAACACAGTGTTCTACTTGTGGTGAGGGAGTTAAGGGCGTTCATGATGCCACTAAAACACCTGCCCTAACAGGAACCTTTGGATGTGTGGATGTGCACTCGTGTGTATGCAGGCGTTTGTGCAAAGTACCTCGGCCAATCTGGACGAAGCCGATGATGATGATGAGTCCAAGTGCCAGGAGCTTGGCAGCGGCAAAGAAGTCCTGTACTCTGGTGGCCGCCTTCACACTGTAGCAGTTCACAAACGTCAACAAGACTAGAGAGAGAAAGAGAGAGAGAGAGAGACTGTAAATGGCAGTATCCTTATGAAGCGGCTTTTTATACTCACATTTGAGGTGGTGTGTGTGTGTGTGTCAGTTCATTTAAAATGTATTTATATAGCACCAAGTCATAACAGACATTATCTCAGAGCAGTTTTGATATAGAGCCGGTCTAGACCGGGCTCTTTGAAATATTATTTACAGAGAACCAACAATTCCCACCATGAGCAAATACTTGATGACAATGGTAAGGAAAAACTCCCTTTAAACCCCCTACTGCATGTGCACACAAACTCTCATAGGATTGTTGAAGTGGCTCCTAACCCTGGACGCTATTAAAAGTGATTAACTAAAGCAGCAGGTCCCTTCAAAGCTCCTAAATCAGGTCGGGGCCACAACAAAAAGACGAGACAGAGCACAATGAGGCTCTGTGTTACAAGGACCAAGACAAAGAGAGAGGGAGCCTGAGTACAGTACAGGGCTGGACACACTGAATTTACACACACACACACACAAGCACACACACACAACTGCCTAATGTGTGTGTATGGACAATCTCAATTAACACAAATTCCCACAGAAACAGGTCAAATGGAACAATAACCCACCCACACCAAAATAGACCTATGGAGCTATGAATATGTGTGTGTGTGTGGCGATCTGGCTCCCAGCCCCGCAGTGGCCGTGAGCACCCCACTGCCTACACCACAGGCATGCACACACACACTAAAGTGAGCAATCCTAGTGAAACACAAACACACACACACAGTCCGGGCTTTATCATGTGGTCTCAGTCAGGATTTAGCCTTCAGTCAATCTGAAGATTATGTAGTAGGGTTACTAGCTGGCACCGCGCGCGCGCACACACACACACACACACACACACACACTAATATACATGGAGGGGCCCACAGAGAATGCCTCTGTACAGGGTCCAGAATTTTGTGCTACACCCCTGTGCACAATGTCATGTGTAATCATGTATTCAGACAGACGGGGTGTGTGAGGTGAAATGGGGGGGATTCTTGTTGTGTGTGCCACTCAAAGAAAACAAGTACAACCAGAAACCGGTGCTAACAGGCTAAAGCAGCTAATCCAGAGTTAATCAGGCTGAGGCTGCAGACAAAAACCAGGCACATTTACAAGTATTCTTTTAGCCCCCACTCAACTGTGAAGCTAATCAACAGGCTAAAAAACATTTATTGACCCTAAATACAGCATCATAGTCGAGCTTTAATTGACTGTTTGAGCTAAATTAAAGGGAAGGAAAGGAGGTTAATATCTTACACACACACACAATACGTTATTGTCATTATTATTATTATTCAATTAATTAATTATTATAAAGTTGAAAACAGAGACTATTTAATTTAAACACATTCACTAAATATTAGATATAAATAAGTAAATGAGATTATAAGTGAGCATCATTTCCATTTGCCTTATGATGCGCGCGAGCATCTTCTCTCATCACCTTTGCTGATGAAATAACGCGGCACTTTTCACCACAGCCCTTGATGCTGGGCACGTGCACGAAGTGTAAGTACGTAAAAAAAAAATGTCTGTGTGCGCGGGTGTGTCTCTCATTGGCATCACACGTGGTCCGTAAATTAGCACCAGCGCTGAGTAAGCTCGTGTAAACTGTACGTGTGGGAGTTGGGTAAGTGGGATAACAGGTGTATGATCATTCTGACAGACAAACAGAAACACACAGGAAGCGTAACCTCACTCATCCGCTCATCTCAGCACACAACAACAACACCACCGCCATCTAAGGTTGCATCATCCCGGAATGCGCAGCGCGGACCCGGTACTCACGGATGCAGAGGCAGGCCACGACCTTGGCTCCGTTCTCCGGCACCGGGCACACGGGGAACAGCGGCTTGAGGAGGTACGTGGCGAAAACGTAGGCGACGATGTACTGGGAGGACGGCCGGATGATGAGCAGCTCGATCCAGAGTTTGAGGAAAGCCGGCAGAGAGCCGTACACCTCCAGGATGTAGGCATAGTCCCCGCCGGACTTGGAGATGGTGGTCCCCAGCTCCGCGTAGCAGAGGGCTCCCACTGTGGAGAACACCCCGCACACCGACCACACTATCAGGGACAGACCCACCGAGCCGGCCTCCTTCACCACGCCGGTTGGGGTGACAAAGATGCCCGAGCCTATGATGGTGCCCACGATGATGGCCACGCCGTTCACCAGAGTGATGGTCCTCTTCAGGGCGACCCCTTCCCCCCCTCCCTCTCCTCCGGCGGCGTTGTTGGGGCTCTTGGCGTCGCTGTCCGATGCTCCACCCTGGAGCATCATTTCGGTGGCCAGCTTGTCCTCTTCTTCCCTCTCTGCAGAGGAATTTGAGTTTCTCTTCTTCAACGCCGACATCGTTCGGGCTCAGTTTCCTCCTTCTTCTTCCTCACTCGGGGTCACAAAGCTTCCCGCTTCGCCGACTTCTCCCTCTGTGGCTTCCTCTCTGACGGTCCGGGTGTGCGCTGTGATGCCGGCCGGGCTCAGCCACGAGGAGTCCTCCGTACGTCTGTTGGTCTGAGTCAGAGCAGCGTGCTTTCACGCATCTCTACTCTGTGTGTGTACAAAAAACTATAGAAATCGGCTGGATGGCCCTCCTCCGTCAAGGCCAGCCCCTGCTTTTAGTTCGGCGTGTCCTCCTCGGTAATGCCTCCGTCAGGTTTGTCTTTTTCCGCCATCTAGCGGCGGAAGGCGGAACTAGCCCCCCTCTCTCCAGTAGAACATCTCACCATCACAACTACAGGTACGTCTCATCAAACTAGAATATCGTGGAAAATTATTTCTATAATTTTATTAACAAAGTGAAACTTTAATATATTTTAGATTCATTACACATTGTGTTAATCTTGATGATTACAGCTTACATGTCGTGGAAATCAAAACTCCATATCTCAAAATATTAGGATAAAGAATGTGTAATACAGAAATGTCGACCTGGGAAGAGCCTTTAATCTCTCAGTTTCAGTACACACACAATTCATTGCTGTGAAAGGGCTGGCTCTTCACAGAGTGCTGGATCAAAGCACATTCATGGAAAGTTGACTGGAAGGTTAAAGTGTGGTAGGAAAAGGTGTCCAAGCAACAGGAATGACCGCAGCCTTGAGAGGACATCAAGAGCCGCCAGGCACAGATGGGTCCAGGAAATCAGCTACAAGTGTGACATTGCAAGTGTCAAGCCACTCCTGAACTAGAGACCGCGTCAGAAGCGTCTTTCCTGGGCTAAGGAGAAAAAGAACTGGACCGTTGCACAAAGTCCTCTTTCCGGATGAATTTTGCTTTTCATTTGGAAATCAAGGTCCCAGAGTCTTTGGGGACGAGTGGAGAGGCAAAGAATCCAAGTCGCTTGAAGTCCACTTTGAAGTTTCCTCAGCGATGATTTGGGGTGTCATCTGTTGTTGTCGGTCCACTGTGTTTTATCAAGTCCAGAATCAATGCAGCCGTCAACCAGGAGATTTTAGAGCACTTCATGTTTACATCTGCTGACGAGCTTTCTGGAGATGCTGATGTGCTGTTCCAGCAGGACTCGGCACCTGCCCACAGAGCCAAAACCACTAGTAACTGGTTTGACCATGGTGAAACCCTCGCCTGACCAGAACCTCATAGAGAATCTAGGGGCTGTTGTCAAGAGGACAATGAGAGACACCAGATCCAACAATACAGACGAGCTGAAGGCCGCTATCAAAGCAACTTGTGTTATTATTGTCATCAACATTAAAACAAAAACAGGACTGAAAAATTTCACTTTATGTGTAATGAATCTCAAATATGTAAAAGTTTGACTTTTTGAATAAAATTACAGTAATAAATGAACTTTTCCACAATATTCTAATTTTATGAGATGCACCTGTACCTCTGGGTTTGAGGGACCAGATGGCCCCACATGATTGACCGCAGTCAGGTCGACATTACAAGGAAACCAGCTGGACTGGTTTTATATTCTCAGAGAGAAACTGAGCAGAGTTGACACCCCCCAGAAATCAGGATCCATCTTCATTTACAGATTACAGCTCACCCTCTTCAAAAGATGCATAGCCCAATTTGCTTAGCGCTCAGAAAGTGTCATTCAATGAAGGAATGTAAAGTATCCACTTTGCATGCCTCTGTGATTGAAAAAAATGGTTGGATTTCACATCCCCAGAAGGATTTCCTATATCTAACAGTGAATAAAACAGACCTTTTATCAAACTCAAAGGAGCGCACATTGAAACCACAGGACTGGCATTTATGTCTCGGCTCAACTCAGGTGATTGTGTCTGATAAGGAAAAGGCTGGTCCAAGCAGAAAAGGCATTAATAGTTGACACTGGTCAAACCCACAACAACGCCTGCACCCTTACAATGGGATATTTTTGATGAGAGAACAGCTGAGGAGGCTCCTGGGAAAGGAGTGGCAGATAGGACAAAGTCTTTGCAGGCTCACCAACAGATACAGGCCCACACTAAACATCAGCTGACCATTATGGGCCACAAAACTTTGTGTGCATGAACTATGAAAGAAAGCCCCCCCGCCTCCCCCACCTACCAGACAGACAATTTCCTTTGTTCAGACTAGGTGCACACGGTCCACATTTATTGGCCCAATCCAGCCTAAAGGTGCTTTCTAATATTGTCTATGTGCCTCTGCACAAAGTCTGCGGAATGCAGGGCCTTCATCTCAGTCAGGTCGAGCCCCAGATCAAGAGACACAAATATGCCTTAATCCACGTCTGTCTGTCTTTGTAAACCTGTACAACAGCTCCCACGGGCCCCCCGAGCAACACTTGTTGTTGGTCACTGTGAGAGGCTAAAAGTTTGTGGCTCTCCTTATCTCCCGTCTGCAGCTCACATGACCAGTTGTTTGCTGGTTAAAAAGTCAGATGTTCATTGCACAGTGTTAGATCAACTCCCACACACCAATTAAACTGCATGGATCAAAGTTCTGGTAATGTAATGCTACACTTAACTTGATTCTTTTCTGTGGATCTCCTCCGTAAAATGAATGAATGATGATATTTCAATTGCTTCAAACGATTCATAACCTGAGTTTACTGCTGTCTACATTCTTTTTCAGCATGAGAAAAGATCAGCATTGTTGTGGCTCATTGTTTGATCCAGAATGGCTCATATCCACTCACAGCAGTCACAACAGTATTTCATCTTAAAAGGACAAGGTTGTTGTTGGTATTCAAATTTAATTTAGATGCACTTTGAGGGGCACATAAATAAGGTAGTACAATCCTCTTTCTTTCCACTAGAAATATTTCTCTTCCAAGATCTAGAAAAAAAAAATCATTCACTTCTTTGTTTCCTCCATCTTGATAATTCCACTGATCGCTCTGAGACACTCTTCTGTGTCTCCGCTTCAGGTGGTCCAAAATGTGGTTGCAAGACTTTTAACTAACACATGGTGCTGGTGACACATTACACCAGTGTTGGACTTTCTGCAGTGGTTACCCTGAATGCAGAACTGATCACTTAACCACTACAGGGGCTTGCACCACTGTATATTTCGACAGCAACATCAGTCAACATCTGCAATCTATAGGGAACCCGCCCATTGTGTGTAGACCATATTTTATGTGTGCAAGGCAAGCATGTGCTTGAAGAGGCTCTGTGTACCAGCATCATTGTGAAATGACCGTAATGTCTATTGTTACCAAACCAACTGTGCAATTGTACTGGTGAGTTGATTAGTAGCCATGATGTTGCAACACCGCCACTATTGAAAGTGCTAAAGACACATGTTCTTAATTTATGAGGGAAGACGGCTACTTCTTGTTCGGGCTTTAGTTTTTGTTTTGTCTGCGGATTTTTCACTCCTATCTACAGATGTAAAGCTCAGAAAGTTGTCACTCTATTTCCAGCAGGACTGCGGATAGTGTTTGTTTTGTGTCATGAATCCAGTAGGAGATGTAGTGTACACGGTAGAGGCTGAAAAATGTCTCATAATTCTGAATTATCTGTTTAAATTCTTCACGTGGCACCTTTAACAGTAATGCTTCTTGTCATATTGACTTGGTTTAGAGTGAGACCACACATTACATACATGAAAACAGATTCTTGTTCCAGCTGCTAATGTGAACACCCATTCTGACGGATTGATAGAATTTTTTGCAGAAGGGCGTAGAGTTGCAGAAATGGGAGGGAGCGCTGCTTTCGCCGATGGGAAAATGTTCAAAAACAAAGACGTGACTCTGGTGTGGGTGTGGGAGAGGTCCTGTCCTGGCAGCTGTAGTAACATCCACTCTGTTTCCAGCTTCTCTCCCAGGGAATATCCTGGACTTTTAGTACTGCTTAAAACTCTTGCTGATGCTTTTGGAAAGTCTAAGCGATGCATAGGTAGAAACATGGTGCTACATCTAAAAGGATATGTAAAATATTAACAATGCAGAAACTCTGACACTGACTCTGTAGCTATCATATCCATGTATGCATAGTGAATATGTATAGTTTTGTATTGCAAAAGAAATTTGTGTTGCCAGTTGTAAAGAACTGTAATACACCTGTCAGTGTCTGCGTTGTTTTCATGACAGAGTCCTCTTGTTAATATTGTAGATGCTTGTGGTGCTGCTGAGAATAAATTAAACTAGTTTTACATGCTTTATAGCAAAAAGCTGCACTAATCAATATTTTCATACTAACAATGGATGAAATGACTGTGTCAATATGTAATGTGAAAGTAGTCGCTCATAGTACTCTATGGACCAACTCTATGGAGTGCTTTAGTGCCTTTTACCTCACTGTTTTGATTTGGCAATCTGCAGCTTTACTGATTTTGGTTCAACCTATACAAATAGCAGGCAGCTGTCAGCAAATAAACTCTTATGAACCCACTGTGTATTACGACACGACAAAGTCTGTGACAAGCTGGTGAACATTGTGGAGCAATTAGCAGCTAATGAACCAGAAAAGAGCCAAAAGGAGAGTGAATGTTGGATTTACATTCATCAGGTGAACAGAAATAGAAAATGAATTCTACTGTTGCTCTTGGTCTGTTGGATGTGTAAATAGGCAGTTTTTAGCTGGTTCACCATTTACAAGGTAATAATAAGCCAAGTGGCCAAAAAATCTAAATCACTGACTGCTGCTGTCAAAACATGACTCTTTTAAAGCTAGAAGAGTGACTTTTCTGCCTATGTGTTAGTTTTTTACCCCCCTTGATATCGATAGGGTTTATCAGCTTTTGGAGTATCTCTTACTCTCTGCTGCAGCTGTGAAGGCATAAAAATGTCTTGTAATAAATATATAGTAAGTATAGTAATAGTTTGGCCCTGTAACATACATTGTTGGCATAAATTATACCAGTCACTATATCAGCAAATTACAGTTTTAACTGTGGAAATTTGAACTACTTTGTCAGTTTCTTCTAACAGTGCAGCCTGTATGAATATGATATTGTAAAAAGAAACCAACCAGTTTAGACGCAGCATTAAAGTCATGGATGGAAATCCTTTGAAATATCTGACGCACAAAACAAATAAATCAGAGAGGCTGAAGTGCACAGAGATGGGTAAAGCAGGAGGGAGAGCAGCGTGCTTGGAGTTCAGAGGGGAAAAGGGCCTCTCATTGTATGTTCCTGTTTATGTCTCTGCCTGTATGGAGAACTGAATGGGTGGTGGGTTGTTGATCTAAAACGATTCCCCTCAAACAGAGAACAGAAGGACAGCAGGAAGACGAGTCCTCTAATTTGAACTCGCCTTCTTCATCTTGGCTGCATTGATGGCCAGGGAACAAGGTCACTATGGTGCAGACTAAAATACAATGGACGTACATTTCTTAGAAGACACGTACACTTGAAATACAGTTAGACCTGTTAACTGTTTTGATAGTCAGCCATCATGGTTTATTTTAAATTATGGAGCCTGTGTGCAGTCTTTTACTCGTTCAGTAACTGGGGCGCTGTTAGTGGCGTTACTGCATTTTTTCCATCGTTAGTCGTTTCAGTTTAGCATGTTAGCATCCTAACATTAGCTAATTAGCACAAAAATACAAAGTACAGCTCAGGCTGACGGGAATGCCAATAGTTGTGCAGGTATTTGTTCGTAAACCAAAATATTGGACAACTTAGGATTCTGACCTGATGATGCCACTGGATGAAAAGCTAAGGCAAGTAAGACCACACATAGCGAGTACTTAATTTCACAGCGATCCATGACCGACACTAACGTGGCTAAAAATGTAACCCTGTTCCTTCATTACCATGAACACCCACTTACTGTATTTATTTTGTCTCAATCATGTCCTGCTACTGTAAACACTCCCTAGAGCACCAAATGTGTATTAATCCGCAGCTAAAAATAGTCCCCAACAAAAAATACATAAAAGTAACATTTTCTGTAAACGTCACTACCCAGCTGATTAAGGACATTATTAAGCCTTTTTTAAATAAACTATGTTTGTGGCCTTTTAAAGATTTATGTCTTGAGTAAGAACCAACAGGCTTGGGGCTGTCAGAAAGTGTTCTGAAACAGACTGTGGGATGTGTTGACAACAAGAAATACATAGAAACGGAAATTGTGTTGCCAAAGAAGTGATTTTGTTCCAATAATAAGAAACCAATTTCAGAACGTTTAAGCATTTTATGAAAAGAGGACTTTTCTGATATTACCAGTTCAGCAACATATTCAGTTCTCTCTCAGGGCGTTCAGCGGTTAGAAAATGTTTTCTCATTTACCTACTACAAAGACACAAGTGCATGCTTAGAATCACACACGCTGTACAGTTCAAAGCTTTGGGGTCTCCAGTCAGTCTGTCCAGTCATACAATCAGGGGAAGCCCAGCAGAGACTGGCCGGTGTGTCCCTGTAGACACAGGCCCCTCTCCCCTGCAGCCAAGCACAATAAACACCCCAGAGGTAAGCTTCAATCACCATTTCTTTAGTTTGAATCAGGCGGCGACCCAAATTACACCCGGCAGTGGTAACAACGTATAAAAGAGTGTAAACAACCCACCCTCAGGACCTCCAGGCGTCTGGTTGGGGGCCACCAAACATCCCCTCTCTCTGTCAGGGAGGCTTCAAAGGTATCGTTGGAGATGGGGTGGGGGTTGAGAAAGCGAGGCAGTGGCCAACAGTTTTTATTTTCCAACTTGTTCCTGCTCTGCTTTGTGCTTAGAGAGGCGTTGGACCAGGTGGGCCTGCGGGAGGAACAATGTGGATGTATACGTTTCTTAAAAAGGCAGTTGACATAGCAGCACCTTTAAAGGTTTCAGACATCAGCTTGGTGTTTTCTCCCGTTTCAGATTTGGCTGCAAGTTTAAACAGATGTCATGAAAATCAGTCACACAAAAAGCGAAACACTCACCACCTCTTCTCTACTTCTGTCATGGGGACACAAATACAAAAAATGCACAGTGATAGACATCATTTTTTACATCACACATGATTTTATTGTTATACATCTATTAATGTGTCAGTTTCTTTAAATCATCTTTACATCTGAATCATGTGACAACGTGGTTTTCTACAGGGGTCTCACAGCTGGATGGGGGCCTATAAGGAGTCATCCAGGTGGAGCACAGCATACTGGGAGGGGAGAGGGGCCTAGAGCAGCCCCGCAGGGCAGGAATGTCGGTTGCCCACTGGAAAAATAAAACAGCTAAAATATGTACTGCATACATCACATACACCTGCTAAAACATCACACTGAGCTACAGGAGGCAAGGAAAGATATACCAAGAGACTCAAACACAGCATGATGACAGCATTCTGTAATACTTCTATGTTTACAAAGGCAGACAGGGAGAAAAGTGAGGACAAGATGCCAGAAAAGGGAGATTTTAAGCTTCGAAAGACACCACATCTTACATTTTAACCATCTCTGAACAAAGTCATCTTAAATTGGCTTCTGATGCCAGATCACCAACTCTAGCTTTGACAGAAAAGGCCATTTAGACAACATTTTCCACAGACTTTGTTTAAAAAATAAGGCATAAAAGAGCATTAAAAAAAAAAGTAACTTGACATGAGTAAAATGCCATGAAACATGAAGGCAGATCTTGGTGCATGATTTAAACATGGTAATAAAACATAGCTGTATAAGATGAAGGCAGTACTGGGTCCCTTGTCTCCATGTTAGTATAATGCATTGAAAATAGATTTCTTATTGCATTATTTGTAAAGAAAAATAACATTCCCAAATGTGTTTCTGCTGCACATCATCAAACTCCACACCGAGTACACTCTGATCTCATTTCTGCTTTGAAAAACAACTACTGCCATCTAACCCCTGCGGCCTCTTCGGAATTTATTTAGCGAATCAGCAGCCATCACAATGAATTAACGTCACTCAGTGCACATCACATAGCATCATAATGAATTAGTGTATTCAATATGTGATATCATGCTGGGCCTCAAATGGTGAGCCAGTGGAGGACCTACTGGGGAGATGGAGCAGGGCGTGTATGCCTGATGGGAGTGGCGGTGCAGGAGGGTAGGAAAGGCCAGTTTGGACAGTCGCATTGTTACTCAGGGATTATATAGACAACCGTGACCTCTCACCCCTGCCTCAACTCAACTGTATGTCAATGGACACATTCATGTACGGATAATGTTAGACGTGGCCAGACACGCTTCCTCTGATGCGCTTCTGGTTTGCAGTGTAATTATAGATTCTTGTCCTAAAGTATGTGAAATCAGACATGCCTGAGAAACTTGGCAGATCATTTCATGTTGTCTGAACTTTCATTCCCATCTCTTCTCTCTTTTCCCTGTGTTTTCCTCAAACCTCTCTCTTTCTGACAGTACTGCATAGTTACATCCACCCACCCCATCACAACTGCTGGACATGAGCCTAAGCAAAAGCCAGACTTCTTTAGGTGATGCAAAATCCTCATCTGCAAACAACACGTAGGAGTGCTTCATATACCTTAGTGTAGAGCTTGGATAAGTTCTGGATTATGAACATCAAGTGTACTTTAAAGGGTAACTTCGGTATTTTTCAACCTGGATCCTCTTTTCCCCTCATGTTTGTGTCTGTGAGACTAACTGGGACAGCATTATTTGAAACTGTTCCAGTATTGAGTGAGTGTTCTGCAGTCGGCAGCAGCGAGGAAGGGCTGCAACATAATCCTTGTGGGCAACTGTGCCCCGTTACAGAACGTCCACTAAAGTGCTTGTTTTTGCCACTGACAGGCTCAGATTGTTATTATAAGTGTCTGACAACATTATAGAAAAGATCCCTACAGAGACAGACCTTTGTTTAAAGAGCGGGACACTTTTTGTTGCTATATCGCTCTTGTAAAAGCCACCAGACTGCATTGACAAAAATAGCCTCTTTGGTCTGCCTTGATTGGTTAGTTTGTGTTATTGTGTGACTTTTTAACCCTTCAAAAACACCAAAGTCACACAATAATGCAAACAAACAAACCGACCGAGGCAGCGGTAGACCAGCAACTCCTGTGTGTTTTGCGAGGTAAAATTACTGTTTTTAATCAATGGAGTCTGGTGGCTTTGACGATAGCAAAGTTTCTGGTTTTGCTTTGCTGCATTTTCTGTCTTTGCATTCCTTGTTTTTTCCCCCCCAGAAAGACCACTGAAGGAAATCCTGAATGACAAACTGCACTGAGTTACAAAAGCTAGTCCAAAGCCCTGTATCTGGCTTTTTTTTAAATAAAAGCCAATACCGTATTAACATATCTGTTAAGACACTACTAAACAGGTGGGGTGATACACGAGGCTGTTGGTCCTACTGTGTCACCCGTCTATCCAACTCCCTCAGAAAGTCTCCTCTACAATAATTTATGCATTTATCACAGCTATTCATGGTAGTATCCTTTGTGCCTTTTGACTTTATTTTAAAAATGTAAAATAAAGAAGTAGTTTAGACCAGCACAGATATTTAGCATTCATTCAACAATATTTGTAACTCTTCAAACCCTTTCTCAAAACTGATCAACCAATTTGTTTAATCTAAGCCTTCAGTCACACAAATGTCAAGACAAATGTGAGACAACACAAAACTAACTAAACCAGACAAATCAACAAAGACAACAGATATAAATAAATCTGTCAATCTGAGAGTCATTTCCAGGTTTAAACATCAACTCCTCTGCTATGTTCCTGTACTTATTCCTGAAGCATAGCGATACACTGTGGGAGTTGATCCATTTACTTTAATTCTAAAAACATAAATGAGGATTATATAGCAAAATTCACCTGAGCCTTGACTGTTACTGTGAGCAAACACTAAGCCCTGTACCGGAACCATAGCATAATGGAACAGCTGTGGAAGTGAAATACTGTTTATGCTCAAAGATGTGTTGGGGAACCTCTGCCAACAGAACAGTGATTCACACAGAGAACATTTAAGGCACTGCGGTTATGGTACTTGAAAACAACTAAAAAGAAGTGATGGAAGACAACTGCTTATTTCAATCAGAATACTCTTAAAAGGCATGTGCTACAGTAACCTGGCATTTTTGTACCTATTAGTAACATTTAATAGTTCTGCTTAGAAGAACTAAGGCTCATTAAAGTTCATTTAAAACTCTCATGTATGTGTTGGGTGTCACATACTATAAAACAAATCTTTCTGAATGTCAGATGTACTGTATACAGTATAATTTCTTTGTAACAGATTAAGAAAACATTTATTCTATTCATTATTATTAATGATAAAACCAACAAGCTAATTTAAAGTGAGACTGTGGTACAAAACATTTGATTAAATTGGATATATAATGTATTCTACTCAAGAGACACACTCCCAAGGTGATTGCCTTATATGGATAAAAGTCAGACTGTCAAACAGACTGTGGTCAGCACACAGTGCTGTTGAGTTTTTACATGAAGCTCAGTGTAGCACTCATGTACCTTAATTGAATGAATGTTAAACGTATAATAAATATGACTCATGTTATTAAAAGCAGTAAAACTACAGATTTTGCCCACAGCAACCATCCCTTATTGGTTATTGGTCTGCAACAGTCAAACCAAAATCTGAAATATCTAAGAAAGAAAATAAAAATCTCTACCCAGACACAGAAGTATACCTACATCCTCCACGTAAAACGGTTTACTGTATAAGTATAAGTTCTTCTAAGGAAAATTTTAACGTTCTGAGTCAAATTGAGTAAAAAAAAAATAAAAAAATTTCAGACAGTTGATCACAGAGTAAATGTAGATTGGTACGGTCACTGTGTGCGTTACTGTGTGAGAGGATGTGTGTACTGGGTCCAGCAGCATCAGTAGGTGTGCTTATCGCCTTCTGCTGACGGCGCCTCCTGTAGGAAAGGAGAGAAGGAAGAGCGGACGGTGCGACCACAGTGAGGCTGCTGCACACGGAAGTTGTTCACCATACTCTTCTGTACGTCCTCCTCAGCTGAGGTGAAAAGAAGGCTCCGGAAGACCGCCAGCTAAAGGGGGCAAAAGAAACTGTCAGGAAAGGGGATGAAGAATCTTAAACAGGCTAAGACAATATGTTCACAAGCGGATTCACTTCTACCCTCTGTGTAATACTAATAGGTTGCGTGTCTTGAGGCAAAACCTGCTGTTATGCTCAGCTTAATGCTGAAAAACTTGTTCCTGCCTCAACATGATTAGGACTGTTGCAATGTGGTCGTGCTACTGAAGTGGATCTCACTTTAGCTTCTAGAACCAGTTTTTAATGTCACTTTAAAAGCACAATAGCTACTAAAAGAAAGGCTACAGAAAGATCTGAGTTTTACAATAAAGGACAACAGGAGCCCTCTAATGGTTGGTCTGGAGTTCAGCTCAGCGGAAAGCAGCATTCCCTGATTTTTTTCTTTTGTGGTTACTTAGGGGCAACAGAACAACATCTGATATAACCATCAAAATTTGTTATGGTGAATGTTGCCTATTTACACATTCAGCAGCGGGAAATATTAGGGAACGTTAATTTAGAGTCATGTTTCTGGCCACTAGGGCTGGACCCGAATATTCCGGTACACATTTGATTTTCAATTTTGAGATTTAAATATTGAGTATTTTTTTCACATGCATGACCTCAGCCACAGCAGTGAACGTAACTACTGACAGCAGTAGTGTGGTAGTTATGGAATTTTACAATTGCATAATTTCATTACAGATCAAAACAGTCAAATTTCCTAAGTTTTAAAATTAATCAGCTGTTGGCTGGAAACAAACACACACCAACATAATGAACACATTTAAATAATTATATTAGGCCGATTGTAGAAGAAGGGCATTTAGTCACTACAATAAAAGTTAAAAGTGAGTTATGCATAATAACGTGTTGTTTTGTCCCGCTACCGGAAATGGCGCTCATCCCGTTCTCTGGACCCCCGCCCTGCTAAACTATTCCCGGATTCTGCTCTGGACCTGCTCGGATCAGACTCTCACTCTGGACTCTCAGCTACGGTCCCCCCTGCTGTGTACAGCAGCAACCAACCCGGTTTGGCACGCATCTATTTTCACTCTGCCTCGCTGAGTGCTGCTCAATATCCGATCCCTTTAACCCCCCCCCCCCTTTCTTAGTCTTGTTCTTGAGTGTGCTAGCCTTGCCATAACAATGTTAAAAACTACATTTTGGTAATAATCACTTAGTTAGCCTACGCTATGAGAATAAATAAACGGAGCGCTCTCTCTATATTTCTCTCTCTCACACAGATAGACTTACGCACCCATGCCCACCTTTAGCCCATCTCCCCCCATGCGATCCTCCCTCAATTGGCAGAACTTCTTGGGCATTTATCCTTCTTCTGCTGTTCTGCATCTATCTATGAAATAACTACATAGCTGTAGCACGTGAAATAACAGCCTGCTTATCAACACACGTTTAAACAATCGGAATAATGGGACAGCTGACCGGGAAGCTTCGATTATTCGCTTTTAATTACTATTAAAGCTTCAAAGCTAAAAAAAAAAAAAAAAGACATTTGGGCCAGCCCTACTGGCCATCTGCACGCAAGTCCAATGTACTTACACATTTATTGTCGGTAAGCACACACACATACCTGGTCATGGCTGACTTCTATGTGCTGCTTCATAATTATCCAGGAGACGGCCTCTGTCAGAGGAGGTGTAGTCAGAGAGCCGTGGTACGTCCAGTACTCATCAGTGTTGGTGGGTAACAGACAGGCAGGGTCAAACCTGTTAAACTCCACTACACTGCCCTACAGACACACACAGAAATTTAATAAATACTTCCATAGCATGACACCACAGACTGATATAATGACAGAAGACTGAAACTATTTTCCAAGTACTGCAACCATCGTTTTCTAATATCAAAGATGTCAAATAAGTATTACACAGTGAGTTTTTCACAACGGTGACCTCCCGTCAGCTATCACCACCAATATAAACATATGTTCAGAAAAGCTTTTTTCCCCCCATTAAAGACTACCTGTAAATAAAGTCGACTAGTAACTACTAGGAAGCACATTGTTTTAGCATTAAGATGTGTAAAAACAGTAGCAAAGTAATTACATACAATAATGTATGTAATAGATCTTTAGCACTTTACTTCTCAGTACTTCAGGGGACTGTGTGCTTAACTCACTTTATGCAAAAAGGACATTTTAAATGTAGATGTGTTTTAATCTGTGGTTGATCTAATTTATTTTATTGTGGCTGATGAGTTTTAGTCCCAGATCTGGTCCTGAGTTTAGTTCCTGGAGCTACTTGGTGAAAAAGGTACTCAGTACATTTAGATTAAGAGTTCTCTGAGAGAGGCCTGTCTGACCTGTCCTGTAGGGTCTCTACTGAACCACTAGAGAGCGTCACTATCTACCATCTACTCCAGAGCTGCTACAATTCATACCCAGATTTTAAATTGACTTAAAAAAAAAACTTTTGGTCACTACACTGAATTACAATTTAGAGATCAGCAGTGAAATGTCGTGTGTGTGTGTGTGTGTGTGTGTGTGTGTGTGTGTGTGTGTACTAACCTTGTGTCTGATAGCAGGCAGAGCATCAACCAGTTTCTGCAGCCCCTCGTGTCTCTTTCCCACCTGCAAGAGGATTAGACATAAAGCAGAATATGCAACACACATACCAGGTGGTGTACGTTCCCTCACACAAACAGGTCATCAACGAACTGCAGAATGTGCGTGTGTGCAGTGACACTGTGCATCAACTGGACTGAAACATGTGTGCACATCAGTCAGCGATTTTTCGGTTCACATATGTGATGTACCTTAAGAAAGACTCCAATAACAGCAAGTCCATTGTCCTCCATCACTGCCTCCTCGAACAAACTGTACTTGTCAGAGTTCCAGTGGACCAAGTGGAGCTGAGACACACACACACACACACACACACACACACACACACCCCATGAGTCTGTCTGTGTGTATGACTGTAAACAATAAATGTATCCTTTAACGCGCTAATGTCACTATGTTCATTTACTTAAACATTTATTTAAGTATTTTTCACTTGAGCCTTTTTTAAACTAAGAAAGAGATACAGCAGATATAACAGACACAGAAAACAGGCAATGGCAGTACAAACTCTGTTATTGATGTGGATAAAAAAAAAACAAAAAAACAATATTAGTTGTAGAGCTTTGCATGGAGAAATCTGACTTTTATTCTGATGTTTTTTTATAGCCCATGGGTGCATGTGTAAATGAGAAGCAGATGTTTTTGTGCATATTCAAACTACCAGTGAAAATAAACTGTGGCTGGAAAAAAAAACAACTGAATAAATACATTCAAGTAATTTTCTACAATTGGGTATGGACAATTCATTTAGGTTAGTGGATTTAACAACAGCTATAATCATTTGTTGCAAAGTCAGGACTGTAACTCGACACAAATACAGCCAACTGAGTGATGATAACAATGCCATGGACATTTTGCCAAACACCAACAAGGACACACGGACACACACACACACAGTGGAACCTGTTGTTACATAAGTGTGCTAAAGTTAATGGGACAACATGAAATTGTACTGTGGTCAAACGTGTACCAAAAAGTACCAGTTTTAAATCCTAACCGCTCAGGGACAAATACACTGCCTATGTTTAAATTTGGTTTTATTGATGTAAAGAGAAATGGAGAAACAGCTGGATTAAAGAATCGTGCCTGGTACCAGCTATACCAGAGGAGGGAAAAGTTCTCATATAGACATAGCTTGATAAAGCTTACAAATACAAAGATTTGTACTAGATACAAATCTAGTATTTTTCCAGGCACGACACATAAATAGAAAAGAAATGGGTTTGCAAAGTAATGCAACATTTACACAGTTGAAACAGTGCAGTGTTAGATTTGTTTTCTTCCATTCTCTTTTCTTCTTTTAACCCTTTAAAGACTATTTGGCCATGTGAAAAGTAACCACAGGACAAACTATATATTTAGTCTCTCTAACTTTTCATTACCTGTTTTCTTGAGCAGTACACATAGCTGACTTTTTCCATTCAGTGTCATGGTCACATGACGCACACACACACACACACACACACACACACACACACACACACACACGTGACTGCAGTGCCCCTGTTCTTAACATGCTCCATTAAACCAGCAGTGGAAACAGAGGGTGTGTACAACAAAGCTAAAGATGACAGGATTCTGCTGTTACAGGTAATGCGTTGGTCTAGTCCTGTACCTACTGTGGCTTCAAAGACACTGCTTAGCACAATGTTGTTCCTATGTAGCACAGAGCATGACACAATCCCATAAAGATAGGGAGCGTGTTGAAATACTATATTATTCCATTTTTATTTTAAATATCAGGGGTAGTGTATTCTGATAGACTAATAATGATTTTATTTTTTGATATTGCTGACGATCAGTTGTCTCGACGGCATGGCCAACAGCAAGGTTGCACAGATTTATGGGCGTGGGTCATACACATGCTCAGAACCGCCAAGTAGCATCTCGATAGGTGGCATAAATCGACAGAACACTGGCAGCAACCAGGCTGTAACTCGGGACAGACTGGGCCTATTTCGGACTTGTGAGTTTGGTTTGAAACACCGTTTCACAGAGCTGACTGGTGGCTGTGTGTGTGTGTGACACAGACGCCGTTTGCCACAATACGCTTACCTTACTGCACGTGTGTTTCTGTTGTGCATTTTTCCTGTCCGTCAAAGCGGCAGATGGCCCGACAATTTCACCCACCACCAAGTTACCCGCGGGTGCTACTTTCACTCCCTGTGTGACACTGAAGTTTCTATAGTGTCAGCTTCTGTCAAGCATAACGTGCAAAGTTGATGCTTTGTCTGCAGATTGCTTTACTCTTGGGTGTCATGTGACTAGAGCGTAATCGCAGCCTTTGCGAATGAAAAAATCTATTTTTATCACATTGCGATAATATCGCAATTGCAATTAATTGTTTGGTCCTATTTTACAACATGCACAAAAAGGTTAGTTTCAGTGATAAAAGTAAAATAGATAAGAGCTGGCTGCATTTGCAGTCTTGAGTCACGACAGTCCCGTAAACTGTGACATAATAGCAACAGCCAGCAGCCCGATAGATAATGGATTTTTTTAGGCCGATTCTAGTATCAATATTTGAGAGTTTTGATAACGATATATCGAATAGTAATTTTTTTAAACAAACACATAACATTAAAGCAATCTTGATACAGATCCTTTAGATTTGTTTGTTTTTAGTTTAAAGTGTGACCCAGATACATTCTGTGCAAGACATTACATATTTTAAAAATATAAATCAACTTTTCAATGCTCTCTGGTTTTTAAATAACTCCAAACCTAACTTGGGATTTCTGTACTACAATTTCTTATTACTTGTCGGCGAACATTTACACTAATTTATGTGCAATTGGCTGATAGATCTTTGCACACCCACACAACTATTTGTGGCTGAGCAGAGGGAGGAGGACATTTGGAGGAGGACACTGACATTTTAGATTTGTTTCCTAGTTTTTTATAAAAAATAAAAAAATATGCAGCATCCCCGATGTCCCAGCAGGAATGATTTAAGTTTCATGTTCTGATGATCTGACTGAATGTTATAGCACAGACACAGTACCTCTGCAGGGAACAGCCTCTTGTCCACAGTGTGCTCTGACCCCCAGGCATTGTTCTCACCCCAGTGGAAATGGAATTGGCACAGCCTGTATTTGTCTTGCAGGGGGCCCCCTTTCAGCGCTGCAGCATAAAGTAAAAGCACATGTAGATCCATGCATCATACTTTGACTCGTGCAGATTTAAAAATCATTTTAAAAAAAATATATATGTAAAAGTGGAAGATGATCCCACACAGGACCTCTACTGGGTAACAGGTTGGTCAGGCAGTAACACTGACCTAGACACATCAGAGACACATTATAGTGAGAGAAAAGGACGTTTTATTACACCTGTAAACTGTTTATCAACACCAGTAAGATACCAACAGATAAGGCAGAGATACTGCATGTTGTTGTAGTCAAAAACATCCGTTTTAAGACTGTATCCGTTATATTACGTGCAGTCATGTGTAGATCAGTCCATTGTTTCCTTGTAATAAAATACTGCTCTCAACATTTCACTGTCATAAACCTCTTTTTGTTCTCTCTGTACCAGACTGAGCTCATAATACAAAGACTGAGTGGATGTGACACACCTATGAAGTGGTTACTTTTACAGCTTTAAACTATTTGTAATTTTACCAAAATAAGGTTTAATTGATGGTTTTGTTTAGTTATGTACAGTGTTTTGGTGTAGCCCAGTAATTATACCAAAATTACCAACTCCTTCAATAGACTTTATAGTAGTTGTTGAGGTCAGGACAGACATGGAAGTCACATGACAGTCACCAGATCTACGTGACACTTAGTGTAGCATTGATTGCTGGATGTTTCTTTAACGAGGGTGGGGGTGAAGAAGGAGATAATCCTCTTGTGTAGATCAAAACATACATTCCCCTTGCTGAGATTTCCTTTAATTCCTTTCAGATTTAAAGGGAAAGTACTGACTTGCTCCCAAACCAGCAGTTCATAATGAGGAAGATACAAAAGAGAACTTACTGGACTTGTCTGTAGTGTCATCATACTCGACCAGAAAGGAGTAACCGTTGTTCCAGATTTGTTGGCAGGTCCTTGGGTCGTAATTGGTGACCAGAGGCTTCAGCTCTGAATCGAAGACGCTCTTTCGCACAACGATGTCGATGGGAGACTGACGATTGCCTCCTGGTACCGCGAGGGGTTCCTGCCACATGGGATGCACTGGAGGAGAGGAGGGCGGGAGGGAGGAAGAGCAGGAGGAGGAGGAGGAGGGGAGGAAGGAAAAAGAGTGAAGAGCCAGAGATGTTTGAAATGTAAAAACAGATAGAACTTACAGCGTCTTCTGCCAATGCAAAGCAAAAATAAAAAATTTAAAAACAAAAATGCCGACACCTACTTTTCATGTTGTACTCTGCTGCTTCCTGCATTTTTGTGGACAGACAGTCCATTTTAAAACAAAGAATGAAAATGAATGAATTTCTCTTCACTTCATCAACGTTGCCTCATAAAAAAACAAGTCAAAAACACACACACACACACACACTGTCCTTCTTCTTCCTTGAAGGGACTGAATGAAAAAGGAGCAAGAGCAATAGTGCTTCCCTTCTAGACCTCTTACTTTTTTTCCTAAAAGGAAATTACAAAATAAGAGAAGTGGGCTGGCTGTGCAGAAAGTGACACGCGGAATGTCCTGGCACGCCCCCAGCTCCCCCCCCCACAGTAGGGAAATCAGGCCAGGACCTCTGGCCGGTCAAACCGCCAGCTCCAGCCAACGTCAGACTACCGACCTGACTTCTAATTAACCGAAACGCCGCTCACTTTCCCTACCTCCCTCCTTCTAATTTTCCTTTACTCTTGAAATCCACCCAGAAAACCAACAACATTCGCCCAATAAAATCCCTCCCTCTTCTGACCAAGATCTACAGAACAATTCAGTCAAATGTTTTCCTCTCCATTTATCCAGCACAGGGCTTAAGGTTTCCACTGAGAGCCAAGCTGAACAGGTCTGACTGGGAGATGACCTTCATCTTCATCGGATTTCAGCAGCTCCTCCTGGGGGAGTTGGCCGCCTGACTGTGTTATTGCACGGACACACAATAACTGCTTGCAAAGCCATTCGTACTCATTCACTGTGTAACTGTCAGCTGTGAGGTTGTGTGTCACTGCCACAATGTAGAGCTCCTGAAACACTCATATGATGGCCAGATTTTTTGAATCAGAAAATGGCGCGTGTGCAGAAAAGAGTCTGCGAGCTGAGTCTTCTTCATAAAAGCCACAAATAGTGAAAATGAACAGACATTAGTGAACTGCCTACTGTGGATATAGTGACCTCCTTAAACGCAACAAAGATTTAAATCCAGCAACAAACATTTGTCCTGCAGAGGTGCCCTGGAGCAAACACTGAACTCCTAACTGTTCACTCATTTCTCAGGCTAAAATGCCAGTAGGCTGCAGTGTTTTGAATTTATGAATGTGCTTTTTCTATTTTTCAGGAAGCTAACGGTTTCCATTCATTTATATACGATATTAAAATTTGCAGGGAGCAGGTGGAAGGGACGACCTATTTGAAAAGTCTTCAGAAAGTTACCATGCAACATTAACATAACAATAAAACCACAAGATGTTCACTGTGCAAGCTGATTTTCATACTATATAGTATATGTAATCCATTAACCATTTGATATATATCATGTAATCATAATACATTTTAGGTAAATTTACTGAGAAGCGGTTTATAGATAAAATAAACAGAAGTAAATGTCTCTTTTTGGTAAGTCTCGCAATTTAAATACCCTACAAATATCAGGTATTTTGATGTAGTAGTCCTGTACATTGATTTGCAACACTGCTCCCAATGAGGTAATACACCGTGAGATATAGAGAAAGGAGATAATAAATATATTGGTGTAAACAGTATGGCACTGGTCATACTGCCCAATGAAAATCACGGCAGAAAGAATGCTTTCTAAAATCTACAACATTTCTGTACGCCTTGATAAATCAGTCAATAGAAATTGATTGTTGAAAATGATTTGTTGTAAACCGCTACATTCAAAAGGCAGTAGTATGGGTCTTCAAAAGATTACTCAACATCCTCCACAACTGGAGAAAAACACCCTAATAAAACTGTTGACAGTGATGTGTCACTGTTGATTATCTAAAGACGTGGATATCTCAAAACCTTGAAAGATAAGATCAAAACTATGTGCAGGACTAGATAACACAAGGAGTAGGAGGTAAAATATGTATTTTGGCTTAAACACCCCTTCAAAGGCTAAAACCTAGTTTATAAGAACTTGGACTTCATTTCTCTGTGTTGAAAACTTATTTCCCTCGGTCATGATTACACTGGACTTACCATTTGATTGCTGAGTCCGACAGGGCAAGAAACACGAGCAGTCAGAATAAGCCAACAGTTAGCCAGATAATCTAAATCAGTTTATCCGTTTTCCTGAAATGTTGGTAATAATCCCTCATTGTGCAAGAAAAGTGTGCGCGCACAACTACGGCAAGTAGGTCAAAGTTGAACAAGGCAGTTGGTCTGTAAACTGTGATGGATGTTTACAGCGAATAGTTAGGGTAATAATTTCACAGTGTACCTTTCTGATCTGACCGCTTAACTGTCTTGCCCCAAATTGACTATATTTAGAGTTTTGGGATCTCAGCCATTAACTTGGTGAGCACAATGTTTTTATGACCAACAGAAAGTATGTCAATCCTACAGATGAGATTGGAGAAAATAAATCACAATGTGCTTTCCAAACATATTTAAACCATAACAACCCTTTATAGTGATTTTTCCCCCCATGGCACCCACTTACCCTCACAGCATATATGAACCTACATCAATGGCTGAAATAATGAACATTGTGTGTTTTGGCACGATAGCAGGTGTAGCACAATTAGCATCCAAAAGTTGTTTTCTCACTACAGTCTGAATTTACTGCCTTTGACCATCTCACACCGTGTTGAGATGAGTCAGCATTTCTTTGTGAACAACAGAAATAAATCTTTTGGCTTCAATGTACCGACTTTGGAAACCACTTTAAGGGAATTCTCTTCTAAGCAGTACCAGTTCTCAGGCAAGATACCCACTTAAGGAGTTTTTATTTGTCCCCTCTCTTAAGTTGTGCCTGAGAGGCTCAACTCCAGGAACGGAGTTCTCAATGCCTAACCCATGCATGCTGAAATGATGACTGCATTGCATTCCTGTAAGGTGTCTTTACCAGAGGATTGGGAAAAGCAGAAATGTCTTTCTGAAGAAAAATAGCATCGGGACCACTCAAAGTGCCGGCCAATGGACTGACAAGAAACAATTTCTAGCGGACCACTTCAAAGCCAAACCAAAAGCCCTTTCATAAAGCTTTGGACAGACAGTGCCCAGTTCAACAAGCTTGTTAAAGTTAAAGATCAACTCTTGCTTATTATCATGGTTGAACATAAAACCTCTGCTGCACTGGCCCTTATTTCCACTTCCAAGCTTCTTCTTTTTTCTCTCTTGCATGGTGACTCTGTGGTTGTAGTTGACATGAGATGGCAAACAAGACAAGGCTTGTGTTTCTGGGCATAGTGAGGATGTTTCTGGAACTCGTCAGACAACCTTGGGTGTTCTGAATATTCTGTGGGTACAAGGTGGAGGTCTAACATGCTAAGGAAATACAACCTCTTCATGTAGCATGCTACGCTTTTATCATGGCCACAGGTGCATCCTATCAGTACACTGTTAACCATTTTAATTCAACGATCATCTACCTTGGTGCTACAGCCAGAGACATGTGAATAACAAACCTCTATAAAGGATGTGCACACTGCAGATGTGATGGACACAAAGTCACAAAATAATGTGTGTGGTGTTATTTTTAAATGGCACACTAGTTTTCTGTGTGCATTTGACCACAACATCCCTGACACTGTACATACGTAGTGACTTAACATACAGGCCCAAATGTAGGTCAAAGGGTTTCAAATGGCCCCTACATGAGGCGCTGCGATCGGGGTTTCAATGCTTGTTTGGAAAACCTGGAGCCAGAGGCCAGTCTCAACACAGCTGAGTCAACAGAGCAGTGCTTGATCCAAATCCAGTGATGAGGAGAACTCCAGTCCGAGCTTTCCTCTGCGCTTAATGCACGTTTTTCAGTTGACAACAAAAGTGACCATTAACTGGTACCTGTGACCCACGGTCAAAGGATTTGAGCCACAATGAGACCACAAACCAACCCGCTGCCATGCTGACACACACATACACACAAACAGCCATTGTTTGCGGTAATGTTTGGGATTAGAAAACATCCATTTTGAAGCTGTATGATTATGAGCAGCTATGTCTAACGTTACACGCAGGGGAAACTGTAAACAGCGTGCACGGCACAGCTGCAACACACGTGCACCACCAGTACTTACTCTGCGACAGCACATATTTGCTTGAGCACGCCGTGAGGTTGCATCTCCTGACAGGCGTTATCCGGTGACTCTTGGCGTGTCCGACGAGCTGTCGGTGAAGCCGAGAAGCCAGGGGTCTCATTACGGACGAGAAAGTCACCATATTGATCAAGCTAACGCTAGCAGCGTCACCACAAGCGGCTACAAGAAGCGCCTCGCCGTCCTTTAGCGTCTGTCGTCGCGCTGTTTTATTTGAAGCTACCTCTTAGCTTCGTCTTTTTAACTCCACGAAAGTTCAGTAACTTACGAGCCTTGTTTAAAACAAACCCTCCTGGCTGCTGTTGTCTTTCTCTGCTTTCCTGCCGTTTGCCTGGGAGCGAAGGAAGGGGCAGGCTTTGGCTTAAAGTTACACCTCTGCTTTACAGACATTCAAAATGTGACCGCAAAAGCCAGTACCCGCTTCTCCTGAATCTATGGCGTCACTTTCACCGGGTCAAATAATGCCTTTGCCGGCGCACACCCTCAATAAATGATAAGGTTAGCCGCTGTAGGAAAACTGTTTTCTGGGCGGGGGGGGGGGGCTCCTGTGCTGCTGACCAATCAGCGGCCCCCTCCGAGGGGCGTTACAGTAATGATGTAATAGCATAGACTTAATACATCAGGCCATGGACAGAGACAGACAGGTTCAACTGCATTATTCTCTGCATTGTCTATGAAGATTCTCAGTCATCCAGGTCATAGTTATTCAACGAAGGTTAAACGTTGGATATTCTCTGCATTATATATTAAACACTAGTCAGCAATGATTCTAAATTAGATTTGCCGTCAGTTGTCAGGATGGCAGTGTTAACATGTAGATGGTGACTTGGGGATCTAGAGCTCATAACTTTCACGAAACTCACAAGGGGGAGCGCTAATATCGTTTCACACTGTCACGCTGTCACACTGACAAGGCTGCCTGCAGGTGTGTCCCCTCACACTCTTTATTTATGGGCCTTGTGAGCCAGGTATCAACTAATTATCTCAAAATGCCAGCTATCGGGCCCATTAATCTTAATCAGGCCAATCTTATCTGGCATTTAGTCTATCACTAAATAATAATAATAATGCAATAATAATGCCCAGGACCTATAACCAGGGTAACTAATTCAATCTGCCATTATGACACTTTCCAACTGTATACTGATAGCCCTATCTACAGTAATGCAAATGAGTTTATCTGTCAGTATTTCCCATGTTATGTTCCTTAAAGTATTTTATCAACTCTGCTTTTCAATAGTAGTGGAGTAAGTACTCAGATCATTCACCTGACCTGACCTGTACCAGTACTGTAGTATTTCTACTTTTACTTAAGAAAAGGATCTGTGAAAAAATATATTATAAGTAATTGTCCTACATTCAACATTTTACTGAAGTAAAATTACATAAATATTATCAGCAATCTTGAATTAAAGCATCAAACGTAAAAGTACTCATTATTTCAGACTGTTGTGTTATTGTTATTGTGTTGTACATTGTAATGTAGTTAAACTATTCCTGATGCTTTAACCCCAAACCAGCATTTAAAGGTTGCAAAGACTGTTTGATCTATAACACTGCATCATATTGTATAAGCTGATGGCATGGCTATAACTAATTATAGCTGTCATAACGTATTGTGTGGTAAAAACTATAATTTTCTTTGAAATGTAGAGGACCAGAAGTGTAAAGTAGGATAAAAGGAAAATACTTAATATATAAAGTACAAGTCCCTCAAAATTGCACTTAAGTACAGTACTTGATTAAATGCACTTAGTAGCTTCCACCACTGATGGCGTCCTCATTAACGTTATTAGTAATAGCTATGCTTTTCCTCCTCATTAACGCTCTTGCCCTTACATCTGCTCTCATTGTGTATTTACTTGGATCTCTGTTCTTAACTTTTAAAAAGGTTTCTATTTTTTGCACTTTCTTGTATGTGTTTTAATGCATTACTGTATGTCAAGAAATTCAAATGGACTTTGTGTGACATGTGATATCCAAATAAACTTGTCCTGGCTGCAGTATGCTAATTAAATGTGTCCTGAAAAAGGTTCTGCTTTGGTCTATAAATCTGTTCGTAAAGAGGTCTGTTTTATATTTATTTCCCCCCCATCTTTATCTTATGTCCTGAATCTATCATCCCATGGTGAACATTTCATGTAATCAAAATACATTTTCTTAAGCTTGTTTATAGTAAAGAGCTGTCATGTGTATGTTTGTGGTGTGTAGCACTGTTGCATCATGGTTACTCTCCTCAAGAATGTCACACTCTGTACAGAGTTGACCACATGGCTGTCAGACTTTAATCCCTGAACGGAACAAACTAATTTTCATCAGAAAAAAAGAATACCGTGCTGATGACGCCACTCTGGCAAAGCTGACGTGTTTCTGCATGTAGTGTTTGCTTTGGATCAATTTCTGAAGCTGAAGAAATGTTATCATGTGTTAACGTCTCTTATCTTACTAAATGCTATCTAAACTATATTAACTAGTCATATACAGAAAACATCCCCTCTGCAGTTTTTATAATAGTGGGATGGATATAGAATACATTTTTAAATGTACAAAAATTGTATTTCAGAAAGACAAAGAAGCAAGACAACACAAGAATCCTCTGTTGTTCAGTTTATTGTCTTCACCACATTGGTCCAAAGGGCTTTCATAGCCTTTCAACAAGAAGTCAGATCACAATGACATATGAAATTATGGACTGAAACAGGGGTAGGACTGAAGAAGACAGCAGGAGCTCAACTGTATCACTTTGTGCCAGTGGTTCTTAAGTCATTTCAGTACCGGACTCCACTGCTATCAGATTAACCTCTGCAGTATGAATAAAAAAATAACTGCTTCTGGTCAAACAACTACGTCTGTCTAAACAAACTGACCTCTTTGCTCAAACAGAACCAATTCATACTAATAAAAAGCAACTGGAACATGTTTACATTAAATTACTACTAGCCTGGATCTAAGCCACTTGTGTTCAGCCAGAGCCTTTAGAATACAGAGCAGTTTCACAGGGAGCCATGTTAGCGCCACTGTGCTGCTCCGTGGCTTTTTCCGAGTAAATCACTGTGGCGGTGTTACGGAGGGCATGTTTACGGATTTGCAGCCAAAACATGTTAGTTCTAGAAAAGAGGTAGCAAACTAACGCCCCATGGCACAACGTGGCCAAACTCTCAGTCAGTGCCTCTGTGCTTTACCAACCCACAGATGATCAGACATCAACAGCACCCACAGACAGGCATCCTGGGTTAGAGTACCACAAGCTGCAGACTCTTGGGTCTGTCTGTTTCCGTCCCTTCACAACGACTGAGATCAATATTACAACCCAAGAAAATGTTTGGTTTTTAAATATTTTTAACCTGACCACAAAGCACATAAACACCCTGACTTGTGTAGCATGAGAAATACAGTACATTTATAAAAAAATACAAAAAAAGCACTTGTTTTTGTTTTTTTAACCAACAAGAGAAGCATTTCATGGGGACGGGAGGGGAAGTTATGCGTTTTTCAAAACTTTTTAAAATGTAGAATCTATTTACAGCATCATGTGACAGAGCAGAGGGAGTATGAAAGCACAAACACAGTTCAGGGAGGAAGTGATGAAAGACGAACCGGGGCAGTAAATTGTTCTTCATAAGAGAGGTGTTTTATTTAAGCCTACTGTCGGTCTTGAGTCAAACTGACAAGCACTCAAAGAGTTCAGTCCTTCAGGAGACCAGGGGGGACGGGTTAGTCCAGAGCGATGATGTCATCGTCATCGTCGGGGGTAGCTGCTGCACTTGAATGGTCCGTCCGTGGGCGCTTGGTGGAGGTCTCGCCCGTTTCTGCGTCGGAGTGCTTCCTCTTGGAGCCGCTGGTCACTGCTGCAGCGCTAGACGACGCCCCTTCCTCCTCAGAGTCAATGATCATGAGGTCATCGTCTTCTGCTGGAGCTGAAAGGTGACGGACAACAGCGTTCACAGATGAGAAAGAAGATACCAATTTGCTTCCCCATAAGACAAGAGCACTAAGCCTCAAAGCAAACAACCGACTTCAATTTGAGCCTTTATAAAGTTCAAAAACATTCAAAGGAACAGAAGCACATCAGGGTGGGTTAATACAGGTGGAAACCTCATTGTAGTATGTTGTATCTACTATCTTAAAAGGTAACTGCAGTACCAGCAGCACCCCAAAGGAAATAGGGATAAACAGAATGTTCGGCCACCGAAATTAATTGCCCGAAAATAGCAAACATAGCACGTTCGGTGTTCGGCCTAATAAGTCAAAAGACCGAATAAATTCTACTGAACAATTACGTTTACATGTCGGCTGTGTGGAAGCATTTTAAAGTGTCCAAGACACTTTAAAGACACTGTTCTGCTGAATTGTCTCCTAGGACATCCACTCCATCTGTGGGTGACTTCTTAGAGACGGCAAAAAAACGGTCTGACCCGCTATTTATCAAAGTGGGTCGGACTTAATGAATTTAGCACGATGATACACATGTGACAAGGTCCGGTTTTCAAAATATATCTATAACTATACATACTTATTGTCTACACAGTATGGAAATAAGATTAATTGGATTATATTCACAGATAATGTGTCCATTAAAAGTAAATGGACACATGTCATTTACATTACCGGACCTTCTTGGGCCTCAGACCCACACACCATAGTCTCTCCAAATCTCCTAAAAAGCATACATTAAATTTCTCACGCAGTGAAATAAAAAATAATAATTATAACAACCCGCCTACATGATGCAAAGCCGGTGTACATCCTGATAGTAATCAACTGAACCGCACCGCTCGTGCTGTGAGTCCAGACAGCTGTGACGAGCGGTAACGTAACTGGTAGAGTTTTGCAACATAAAATTCTAAAAACTGAGGCGCCACATTACTCAGTCTGAGGCTGTGAGCACTTTATGAGCTACTGAAGTTAACGTGTGTGGATTTTTGGTGAGATTTCTGCCTGATCACAAGTGTTTC